GCTTTGAGTGGAGTGTCCAGAAAAGTGCTATATAAGTGTAAGCAATTATTATTAATTATTATTATTATTATTACTTCTGTACGTTAAGGATTGTGGGAGGGAGGGACAAGCTTGTGAAGGTGATACAGTGTTTTCTTTCAAGAACCGACGGGATGAGATCCTCGGAGCAATGGGCTAGATGTGTGTAAACTCTCCCTTTTTGTTGCCGGTATGTTCTTCAGGTGTCCACCACTGTGGAAGAGAACGGTGCGCTCGCACTCACCAGCAGCGACTCTCCATTCTCCGCCGAAGAGTTCCTCCGCCCTGAGAGCCGACCCTGATTGGCCATGTTGCCTGAACCCAGAGGGGGTACTGCTGGAAGAGATGAACGGCAAGGCTGTTCCACACACCTCCTGAAAAGTCTGGACCCACTCAAGGTATCATTTAAATAAAAGGGTAGTCCAGTATGACGGAGCTTTAAGACTGTAGCAGAGAAGTGAAGGTGGTATCAGTATGACACAACGGAGCAGGCGGGAGGGTAGATTTGGTCATGGCTGGGTTCTGCAAGTGAAAACCCTGACCACAGCATGAGTTCTGCAGCCAAGACAACTTACTGTAAATACCTGCTGTGCCACAAGCAACAGCAATCATCTTTTCTAAAGTGGGTGTGAGAAATAAACAGTACTTTTACTGGATTGGACTGCGATTTGTTCTAGAGAATTCATATTCCGTAACAGATACTGCATGACTGTAACAATCACTGTCTTATTAATCATTCATCACTGAATATGGGATGTCTCAGGAGAATTAATGTCTCATAGTTTCTTATTTTTAATATATGTAATGCATACTGTAAACTATTCTAGTTTTGTAATAGCAGCACGGTTCTGCATAATGTTTGACAGTGAATTGTTTTTAGAAATGTAAGTCATGTGTTTAGACGTGACAAGACATAAATAAAAAACTTCATTTCGGGCAGACAGACCTGCTGTCTGTTGGACACTTTTTGTAAAAGTGAAAGAATGGAAAATAAAACCAGGCTATTAAACGCATATTGTACATATTACTCAATAAAAACAAAATGACATATAGAGGCTATTTTGTAGTAGTGGGTGAGTCCGGCCAGCATTCTGATTCCCTACCACCTCACCTGCAGGCAGGGACGTTTTCTGTACCACCACCTCTGGCAGCCTCCAGGTGGCGCCGTCCTCATCCCAGACAGCCTCCCGACGCAGGCGGTCCACGTTGCTATAGTTGCAGTCGCGCCGGATGAGCGGCTGCACGCGCTCCAGGATCTGCTGCAGGAGCTGAGCCTCGCGCTCCAGCCGGCGGATGGCAGCCAGGTAGTCGATGCGCTCCAGCTCAAACTCGGACTGCAGGTCCTGGATCTCGATCCGCGCAGCCTTCAGCTGGACCGAAAGAGTCAAAAGTAAGGTTAAAATCCCCCATTTCAGCATTACGCAGAAATGAATCATTCTGATTCCTATACAGGGGGGCTGAATGAAATTGTTTATGTTGTATGAAATTACCAGTAGTGAATACATTGTTAGGGCAGCATAGTGGTGCAGTAGTTTAGATAAGATAAGATCACTTTATTGGCCATATACAATTTCTTGTATTATGAATTTGTTTTTTTGCATACCATAACTTGCTCTCCATGAGACACACAGACAGGGAGAGAAGCTTGGGGTCAGAGCGCAGGGGCAGCCATTTATACAGCACCCCTGGAGCAGCTGGGATTAAGGGCCTTGCTCAGGGGCCCAACAGAGTATTTTTTTACCAATTTACCAATTTAGAAAAAGGCAAACTATTCTATGATGAATAGTTAAGAGTGCAGAATTTAAATAAGATATGTTTTCTTAAAAATGTACCATGTAAGAACTCTACAAAGTAATACTTAATTTTGTTTGCTTTTTTTGTTCAGTTTTTGCCACCACAATACAAAAATATTTTGCTGCTCGGGAATCTGTCCGGTGAACAGTAACAACGGGCTCAAAGGAATGTTCTAAAATAATTAAAATCTTTTTAGTCTTGAACAGAAAAGATGACTAGTTCAAGTATAGAAAATTCTCAGATGCAGGTGACAGAAGTCAACCCTATTGGGTGTCTTCACAGTCTACAGCGAAATGCAAAGCAAAGGAAACAAACAGAGACCAACAGTAATACAACAGAGTATTTTAAAATGAAGAACGGGGAATGTTATTTTCCGTAAAAGGTTGTAGAAGACTGGAACAAGCTACCCAGCCATGGTATTAAAGTCAACAGCTGGATGAGATCCTCATTAAATTAATTAGTGAATGAACTGGATCCCTTCATGTACGTAATGTGATTTTAGATCCTTTGGGATCAAAAAGGGATATACAAATACAATTATTACTTTAAAAGACTTTGCTTAGTGGCACAGTGAACGATAACTGGAGCACATAGAATAGTAAAAGCAAAAAAAGGGAGCAAGACAGCATCGATCTGGAGGTCTGACCTTCTTCTGTGAGTTTTCCAGCAGCCTGCTCTTGGCATGCACCTCCTCCTGGATGGAGTCATAGACCTGGAGCAGCACGCTCTCGCCCTCCTCGCCGTTCTCGCTCAGCGCCTCCACCAGCTGCCTCTTCCGCTGGTCCGCCAGGCGCTGCCTCTGCCGGTGCCGCTGCCGCAGCTCCTCGTTGCGTGCCTGCTCTCCCCCGACGAACTCCTGCTCCAGCTGCTGCAGCCTGGCGGGACACAGCGCCCTCTTCTCAACCCGCTCGCCCTGGCTCACGAGCCGCGCGCCCTCCCGCTGCTGTGTAGAACACTCCCCACAACCGTGCCAGCCAGCAGCCATGTCCCCCTGCAGCTCACAGCTGGCAGCCCACTGAAGCAAGGCAGGTGTGAGCCTGGTCAGTACCTGGAGGGTACTGAGTCTTTAAACACTACGGCCAGCTTACAGCACATCACCATGTGGACCATCATACACTTCCAAATGTACTACTTTGACACTTACTCCCCATGAATACTACACATCTAGAAAGAAAGGAAACAAATATCTACTCTAAAACCAATTTCAACAACAATATCATATTAGGGACAAAGGGACAATGAAAGGGAGTGATCAGTGAGTAATTCTAGATACTAAAGCTTTCCAGGCACTCTAGAACCCCACACAAACTTCTGATTGCATTACAAATGTCCAGTTGATCTCTTTACCTCTCCAGTGCGTGTTTCTGGTCCAGGGGTCCTGGTGTGGCGCTGGGGGGCACCTCGGTCTGCTCCTCTCCCCCTGTGCCAGTGTGCCGGGACACCTGTGGCTGGCTCACATGCACCTGGAAAAGACAGGCATGATGTCAGTACAGTCATCTAGGCAGAATCGGGCCATGTACTCACCTACTTGGCTAAAGACTATGCCACAAGTTATTGCCAAAAAAGCAGGAGGCTTACAGATAATGAGCATCAAAAGAAACGTAGAGCTTAAAACTTTACCAAATTCTCAAAGTTATTATATGGAAAATGACAAAACCTACACTGACATTTTATTGAACAGATGTGACATGAGTCAGCTCATGATGCTGATTAACATTTATTATCAATTATCAATATAATCTTGATAATTGATCTTGGTTCCACTATAGGGGTTTTCCTACTATTCAGAACCTTCACAGCAGATGATGAGGGAACCATTCTACCTTGGCCAGGGACTGTTCCACTCCGGAGACGTCCTGGGGGGCAGCAGTGCCGGGTCGAGACAGATCCTCATCAGCAGCCTCTACCGCAGTGCAAGGGACCCCTACAGCAAGAGACAAGCAGAACCTCTTCTGTCTCTTCTGTAAGTTTGCAGTGCAGACCTGAAGACCACTGTGTCTGAGTTGTGCATATACACTGCCCTCAGTTGTGCTTATCATAGCAGATCATCCTTTTTACCTTTTAAAAGTGTCATTCACTTTCAATGTCTAAGGCTTTGCAATACATGTAGTTCCAGGAGTTTCCTAAAAGGTGACAGGCAACAAACTCAGCAAGCATAATAAACACAGGGAACTGCAAGGTCTGCTTTCATAAATTGGATTCTTAAACTGGTCTGAAAACATGATGTACTGTAGCATTTTTCCCTATTAAGTACTGCATACACAAAACCATGCAAATAAGTAGAACAATTACAAAATATTGTCCTAAATTGATATTAGGCATTCAAATTATGGAAGAAGAATGAAACTAACCCTGTCAGAGCTATCATCAGGATTTTGGAGATCGGCTTCTAAGGCTCTGCAGTCACAGGGTGGTGGTCTTACCTGTACTGGAGACTCGGCCTGTGCTTAGTGTCTGTCTACCCAGGCTGGACAGTTTGGCTTCGTAGGAGGTGCGAAGTGCAGCAATATCCTCCTGTAGCTTGGCCTTCGACTCCTGCTCTGCATCGTATTCCGCCTGCAGCCTTGCCAGCTTCTCCTCATACTCCTGCCCACACAAATGCAGAGACTCAGTTTTAAAAAATCCAGATAATTCCTTACACGTGCATAGCACTTTTCTGGACAATCTACTGAAAGAGTTATTTACAGGTAATGGGGACTCCCCTTCACCATTATCAGTGTGCAGCTTCCACTTGGATGATGCAACAGCAGCCAAAGTGCACCAGTAACGCTCCCCATACACCAGCTCTCAGAGGGGAGGAGAACAGAGTGATGAAGCCATGGTAAAGACCAGGAAGATAATCCAGCCAGGACACTGGGGTAACAAACCTGCTGTTTTTGAGAAATACGCAGGGATTTTTAATGACCACTGAGAGCCAGAAACTCGGTGTAATGTCTCATCTGGAGGACACTTTTTAATAGTATAGTGTCCCCATCACTATACTGGACCTACACAGACCACAGGTTGAGCGCCCCCTACTGATCCCACTAACACCTCTTCCAGCATCATCCTTAGTTTTCCCAGGAGGTCTCCCATGCTTAGCTGCAGGGGGTTGCCAGTTATGAACTGCAGAGTGATACAGCTGCTTGCTATAACGTAGCTTCAGCAAATCCCCTCCACAACAGCACTCTGCAGCAGCACATTGCCCTTCACTCTGCTCACGAGAGATTGGAGCAAAGCTGGAGATTTACAGAGGAGGAATTAATTACAGAACAACATTCCTGGAACCTGACTCAAAACCTTAGTGTCAGAATATGGGATTCCAAGCAGACATCACCAGCATGCCTCCAGACAACTGTCAGGCCCTGTGTCCCCACTAGGACACTGAGGTCTGCTTCAGGCTGATTAGCAATGCAAGGCAAGGGCTCTAGCCCCAGTTCTCTGTGAGCCCCAGTGGTGGAACGACCTGTCTGCCTAAGTCAGAACTACAGACTCAATCTCCATTTTCCAGAAGAAACTGAAAACTCATCTCTACAGGATCTACTGAATTCGGAAGCACACGACTAAACCCAGACTTAGTGACTATGAAACTGTTTTACTACTTCCTGTGCATCAAGCAGCACTGAAACTCCTTAGCACTGTGCAACATTCTAGCATGTAATTTACAATGTGCGTACTGCTTTTGTGGTTTTATTGTTGTTTTATGCTACTGTTAGCTGCACCCTTTGCATCTTGAGCAGATGCCATTGCAAGTCACTTTGGATAAAATTGTCGGTCAAATGAATACATGTATATATGTGTCAAGGATACAAAACGCAGCAGCTACAAAAGATACTGCACAGCCTTTGGTGCAAGGGTGCACACTCTTTCCAAATAAGGAAAAAAAACTATAAAGTTTCATTGAGAAATAGACTGCAATGAACAACAACAAAGAACACGTTACTGCACACTTCATATCAACTCAGAATTCTAAAGCTCGACAGGTAGACAGATACCTGCATTCAACAAGACAGGCCAATTCGGCAGTTTATTGGAGGACCTACAATAAGGCAGAACACGCATGCATGTGGAACCTTTATAGAACAGATACTGGAAGAATATTTCGCAGTTTATATATGTGAGAATGTCATCAATTCTTTTCCCACCAAACCCTAGACAGTCAGCTTCAAGGTTAAAAACATCTTGTTTTGAAAGTGTGTGAAAATAAACCTTTACGTGGTATTTAAGTAATTAACGAAAATAATCAATTTAATGAACTTACTTATACTGTAAGTATATAATTATATTATTTGTATTATACTTATAATAATAAGCAATATAATCATAATTGGATAAATAAATTAATAATCATGCACTACAGGCTTGGTAGGCAGAGACTGCATTGGAACAGCTAAAATCAGAGTTAATCAGAAACTGTCAAATAGCCCATATTGTAAAAACCAGAGGCTCTAATACAGGCAGCCAGTACAGTGGCTAAAGACTTTGCAGACTGCTCCGTGATGAGTTCAGACTGCTTGGTATTAGCCACATAATTTTTGGCACATTACCTGCCTTATCTTCTCTTTCTCGTCCTCACTGTCTGAGGCAGAGCTGGAGAAGGGCTGAGACTGTACGACACCGGGTGCTCCCGAGACCTTGCTGGCCAGCAGAGCTAAGAAGGTGGGAGAAAAATGAAACAGTTTTCTTCTGAGAAAAGAGGCAGTGAAGACAGTCAGAAATCTGTGGTAACGTTCTGTTAGTCATTAAATTCTTGTTTTATACACAGTGCCAAATTTGAATTTCTAATGCACACAGTATCATCATTCAGTTATTCAGGAAGCAATAAAGATACTTTGGGCTTCACTGTTTAAAATTGGACTAAAAATGGACAGTCTAGAAAAACAAAAGATAAGTGATGAACTTAGTTATACTGGACAAAACTACACAATCTTTAATTCAAGCCTCAGAAAATGCATAAGCAAAACATTTTCCAGATGGCCTAGCTGAAACTATTCGTCTGTCATAATCTGAAACACTCCTTTCAAAAGTCGCATAGGCTGGTTCTTGTAACTGAAGGCTTACTTTCTTCAATCCTTCAAGATACACTGAAGGTACATTAGTTTCACTTAAGCTGCAGGATGGGTTACAATTAACCAAACCTCAAAACTACAAGAAAAGCGTGACCTATTTAAATTAAATTACATTGTGCTGAACCGTGCAGTCATGGAGACGATCTGCTGGAAAGACTCACTGGAAATGTGAACATCTCCCAGCTGCCCGGACAGGAGAGAACGGAGCTGCTTGATTTCCTCCTGGTACTCCCGCAGGAGGGCATCCTTCGGGTCCTCATTGATGCGGGGCCGGTTCTGGATGCTCTTGGCACGGTTGGCGTAGCGGAGGGTGCTCAGGCTCTCCTCGTAGTTGTTATCCGCTGGCGAGAGGCAGGCCACCATGAGGGTGCGCGTGTTGCCCCCGAGAGAGTCCTGCAGCAGGCGGGTAAGCTTGGAGTCGCGATAGGGGATGTGCTTGGCGCGCCCATCCACCAGCGCCGAGATGACATTGCCAAGCGCCGACAGGGACAGGTTGATCTTGGTGGCCTCTCGCAGCCGCTCCCCAGTGGCGCCGGTCTTGGACTGACGCTCGCTGCCAGCCAAGTCCACCAGATTCAGCTTCCCTGCCCTCAGATGATCCTTCCCGCCTGCATCTGAGCCAGCCAGGGAGGAGGGAAGAAAAAGAGTCATTGAGGTCTTTTCAGATTTTAACATACAGGAGAACATACAGGCACATATCCTTTTAGACATTAGCAATAATAAGAATGAATAATTCCTTACACTTATATAGAGCTTTTCTGGACACTCCACTCAAAGCACTTTACAGGTAATGGGGATCTCGCATCCGTTGCTGATGCGACGGCAGCCATAGTGTGCCAGTATGCTCACCACACATCAGCTATTAGTGGGGAGGAGAACACAGTGATGAAACCAGTTTATAGACCAGGGATTAGGAGGCCATGACTGGTAAAAGCCAATAGGAAATTTGGCCAGGATGCCAGAGTTACACCGCTGCTCTTTTCAAGAAACGCCCTGGGATTTTTAATGACCACAGAGAGTCAGAACCCCGGTTTTGCATCTCATCCGAAGGACAGCGACTTTTCACAGTATAGTGTCCCTGTCACTATACTGGAGCATTAAGACTGCAGGGTGTGCGCCCTCTCCTGGCCCCACTAAAACCTCTTCCAGCAGCAACCTTAGTTTTCCCAGGAGGTCTTCCATCCAGGCACTGGGCAGGTTCACACATGCTTAGCTTCAGTGGGTTGCACGTTGTGAGTTGCTAACTTTGGAAAAACAAAGTTTTATTTGCATGTCTATTCTAGGCATTCTCCTCTTGTGCTTTTATTGGGGTGCCTATCCATGATAGAAGCAGTAGTATCAACATGGTAAGCTTTTGGGTGTCTGCAATTACAGTTGTACACTCTCCGCTGTTTGGCACTCTCACCAGTGTTGCAGATCTCCAGGTGAATGGTGAAGATGGAGTGGGAACGAGAGGAGTCCTTGTTCATTAGGGTGTAGCCCACTGAACGGTTTTTCCAGCCTTGATCCATGATGCGCTCACACTCCCCCACGCTGTGCACCACATGCATGGACAGATCCCGCACATATACGCCCCATTCCGGGTGCTCCTTCAGCTGCACAACACACAAGCACAGAGGGGATTGACTCTGGATCACTAAAGCACATTACAAAACTATTTTTTTCCCATGGTCTTTCTGGTCATGAATTATTCCTCAAATGACTGAGTGCATTATGGTTTTGTCAGGAAAAAATATATAGGAAAACGTTTGTCACCCATCTATCCTCTAGGAAACTTGGAGAATGGCCACAAGAAGACTTGGTATTGAACAGAACATGAAAAAGCTTTGATGGATGAATACTGTACATACAGTAGCTTGTATAATGCAAAGGAACACGTAAAGGTTCATTCCATGCCAAAAAGAAAAGAGAGACAACATTTCAGCTGTGGAGCCTTCTTCAGGTATCTTCAGCCTTCTTCTTTCAAAATGTTGTGTCTCTTTTCTTTTTAGCATGGAATAAACTTTTACTTGTTCCTCTGCAGCCTACATACTGTATGCTGACGTACCTCTCTGTTTGGATAGCTTGTGTGATGGTTAGTGTACTTTGCTTATTTTCAAGTGACATAACACCTTTTAAAACACAATTAACACTCATTGCATTTGCATTAGATCACAACTTAGTGAAAGAGAATAGTTGCTCTTTCATGATTTGATGCTTTAAAGAATTATTAACTGTTAAAAACAATTCTGTCAAAAATGTTATTGTCTCATTTCACAATTGGTCAAAATAAATGCACAACCACACAGACATAAATCAGCTGGTAAATATTTAAGATGTTCCAGTTTTAACATCGCCCAAATCCTAGAGTACCAGGATACATACTGTATCAGAATATCATCACACTCGCTAAAAAACATAAAAGTACCATACGTAGATTTCTGAAACCAGAAGTCGAACCATATAATATTTTTAGAGTAGGTTATTTTTTACTGTTCTTTTCTCGCTGCTTACACTGCACAAATCACACTCTGTTGTAATGAGAACTAGTGCCTGGCCTCGTTTCAGAGTAGAGGGAGGACGTAACCTTGGAAACAGGTTTGATTTTTTGGAGCCCTCTGATGTTAAGTTGGCTGGAGCTCTGAGGTAATGTCAGCACACAGAAAGACTGGTTTACTAATAGTCCTCCTCTGCAATGACACTAATGCGTGAAGTATTCACCTATTACTTCTTCTCATTCGCTGGTTGCCGAGGAGACAGCCATTATGCCCCCGCTCCTTGCTCTCCCATTATAACCACAGTGGTTGCTGTAGAAACCAATTGCAATGTGGATACTTCACAAAGGTCTCACTATTTGGCAAGAGCAACAGTGTACAGAAATATTCACTAAAAAAAGGCCTGCAACTATAAACAAAGCGAGCTTTCTACGAAGTGTCTCTTTCCAGACAAAAGGAAATGTGACCTTACTGGCTTCCTTTTAAACATGTGCTTAAATGCAATAATGCTTAAAAGATACATTAATGCATTTTCGCAATCCATTTTTTCCTCCAAGGTTGATGGCAGCAGAAAAGCAATAAATATATGTAAAGTATAACAGTAAACTAATACAGCTCTCCTGTCTTTTGATCCCCATATAAAAACAGTTTTCACCTTGAAAAGAGTACCTGCATCGGGCAATTTCTATCAATGTCCGGTGCGGAGTACCTGAGATATGGTTGATTTATAACTTAATTTATAACATCAAGGCTTGATTTCTGCAACACTTTACTCAATGGCTCCTAACTCTCTTCTCAGTAAGTTGCAATATGTCCAAAAATCTGCAGCTGGACTCTAATTCACACCAGACCTTGACATTATATCACTCCTACACTTAAGCCTCTATGTTGTTTGCCTATAAAGTATCATATTCAATAAAATATCTTGTTACTGACTTTTATGGCTTTAAGCAATCTGGCTCAGAGAGTAGGAATGTAATCACACTCTCTAAATTCTTTCATGTTCACACATTCTGTGGAGGTTGGTCCTTTGGTCACTGTACCCAGGACTGTACCTTGGGCATTTGGTGACCATGCTTTTACTGTTGCTGCTCCATTGTTAAGGATTATTATTATTATTATTATTATTATTATTATTATTATTATTATTATTATTGACCTTGCTGTACAAACATTCTGGATCCCAATCTTAGAACAGAGCTTTGACATTTATCCAATCTGCCTTGTGAAAGTTTGTTCAGAATCCAGATCTCACTTGATGGGTCTTCAGCAACAGTCAAACTTACTGTTCTTGTACGGACAAGTGTTAAAGCCTAATGCTACTAATTAACCCCCGTGGTACACATGATATGAATCAGTATGTGTTGACATACAAGATCAGGTAAATATTCCCTGGCTTTAATTTCCCTTATTATCATATAAAAAAAACAACCTTTTAGTCTTGAACAGACAGGACTACCTGGGGACCCAATTCAAGAATTCAGAATTGTTAAAGGAATTGACAGAGTCAACCCAGGGGACAATGGAATCAAAATCAAAGGACACGATCAGAAACTACAGTATGTGGAACTGCATTTAAAACTGAACAGCAGGACTCCCAAAGGGCTGTGGGAGTATTAAACTACCCAGCCATGCAGTTGAAGCCAATACCCTATGAACTATGAACTTGCTTAATAACCAATGTTCTGCTTTACTTTACCTAGAATTTGCCTGGAATGTGATCTAGGTATTTACAACACAATTCGCTTCAGAAAAGACTTGAAAGCTGAAACAAGATAAAGTACTATGAGGCAACTGAACAACATTACTTAAAATTCTAAGGTTATGCTTTTCAATGCTTTACAAATGGCATTGGGTGCACTGATTGATGTCAATCTCATTCTCTTACATGTCTTCTGCCAAGCATTAGCTTTTTAGCTATACTGTATATTTATTTCTATTTTAACAAATATTTTTTCAGTTCCTTGCATCTAAAAAAATACAGCATTATTAACATTTCATTATACTGTACAGCCAAGTGGACACACCCAGAAGGATTAGAGAGGTCCTCACCTCCAGTTTCTGTTTGGTGTCATTTCCCAGGAGGTCTCGAATTTCCTCATTGTAGATTTCAAGGTAGGAAGCTCTTACAAGGAACTTTGTATTTTCTGCACACTAGTGTGAAAAAAGTAAAAGAAGAGAGTGAGAATTTTCTGTGTGAAATTGCCCCACCAAGTTTAACATGCAATTTTTCCTTTAATAATGAAACCAAACCATCACCAGATGGGCCAAATGGCTTACTCTGGTTTGTAACTTGTCTCATGTTCGTACTGTATGAATCTCCAAGGTTACCAGAGTGGGACAGGGAGCGTACAGGAAAGTAAACTCACCTGTGTACAGCAGGACTGTATTGTATAGCCTCATCTCAAACAGTGCATAAGTCAGCTATTGTATGAGTTAAAAAGATCATTTGACAGATGGTGATTTGTTATGACAAAACAAACCAATATCTTTTTCGTGGACAAAACCTCAGGAAATATATGTGATCAGCATGTCCACTTCTGGCCCCACGTTTACAACATTTTAGGTCTCTTTAAAAGCACAAATACCTGAAAGGCTTGAAGAACTTGTTCAGTTGTTGTCCAACTAACTCATCGAGCTAACTGAGGCCATTAAGAGCTAAGCTGGAATGAAAGCCTTTCGAGACACCAGCTCTCCAGGACCAGGGTTCAGCACCCATGTTCTAGATTGCAAGCCCTCTATGCAAAATTATAGACTAATGCTTAAAGTTGTGATCGCAACCAAGCTCTGCCATACACACTAGGCGTAATGACATTCATGTAACACATGAACATGTAACACAACAGCCATCAAGCTAATCATTACTGTTAAATATTTAATATGTAAATCCCCTGCTGTGAACTGTGCAATAACATGTAAAGTAAGTCCATACTTGAGCGCAGAACCTAATTAACTGAGAGGAGAGCAATTCAAGGTACAGTACCTTTCTCAGGGCTAATACATAAGTATCAAATTTCCCACCATTTCAGTTATGACATCTGAGTCCTTGACCACTACTCTGTGTTGCACCTATATCCTTAAGTTGTGAATTGAAATATAACCATAACACTCTAGGTACACTTGTGGGAAACATCACTCTCTGCAAAGCAATGGAAGGCACATGGCAAGACTAATAAACAGGGGACCATGCTAATACACTGGGAGTAGCTTTGTTCTTCAGCAGGGATGGAAATTCTCTGTCCCCAGGTGCTACAGAATCCTGTGGTTCGATTCTAATTTTGATTTTAATCACTTGAGCGAAGCATTAGGGCAAGAAGCCCAATCAGCTCTTTCTTCAGCAGCGGCTAATTCGCACGTACTCTAGGTCCTGCAGGGCTAGAGTTGCCCCTCCCTGGCCTACGACACAAGGGCATGAAAAGACAGAATATGCAGTGACAAGGAGTCAGGGGTCTGCGTCTGCACCTGTATGCTCTCAAAGATGTGCTCGAAGGCTCGGGGTATCACACCTCTCTGGCTGGGGGGCTCGGGGACCCCCTGCATGGTGAATGACTTGCCACTGCCTGTCTGCCCATAAGCGAAGATGGTCCCATTGTAGCCCTCAGTCACCCCCTGGCAACACAAGACAGGAAAACCGTTAAAACTCCATCCATTTTCTAACCTCTTAAACCAATACAGGATTGCAGGGTTGCTGGAGCCTATCCCAGCAGGGCAGGGGAACCTCTGGATGGGTTGCCAGTCCGTCGCAGGAGACACAGACACAAGCACAGACACATGCAACCTACTAGCATGGTTTTGGACTGTGGGAGGAAACCAGAGCGCCCACAGGAAAAGTTTTTATTCTGTGGAATAAAGTAAAGGTTACATAGTCAAACCGAGACTAGGTAGCTGGCAAAGTTAAGACAGAGGTTACACCACATCCAAACAGCAGGCAAGCTACAACACACTGAGGTCAAATGAAGCACTGGGCAGAATTACATTTCACATTGTCACTTTCTCTGAGCCCAAACTTGCAATTTAGGGGATTTTCTGGGTCATTTGAGGAAGAATACATGGCAGAAAAGTGATGCAGTCAGTGATGCAGGTGACAAGGAACATTTACTCTGGTGTTAGGCTTTTCCTGTGAATTTGCACTTACAGTATGCAACCCATTTATTTGTCTAGCAGTATATAAAAATACTCTGCATAGATTTTACATTATTATTACTATATTGTAGATACAGGCCTGTACATGATTACAACAACCATTGTAAATGATATACTTTAACTTTAATTAACGTAGTAGGTATTTGTTTTGGCAAGCTGTTTGCAGCTTCGCTATTGTTCTTTTTTGTTAGTAGACAAAATAAACTATGCATCAGCTGTCGAAGAGCTCGATCTTCATCTTGCTCTTAAAGGAACGTACTGTATGAGCCTCATGTTGTCGTAACGCATGGATACCCTCGGTGGCCAAGAGAAGACACCAGTGCTAACTGTACCTCCACCAGCGGATAGGCGATCTCATTGTACAGCTGCTCTGTGGTCTGATCGCTGAAGTAGGTGCCGTCGAAGGTGAACTGTTTGGGCGGTTCGTCGGTGGCTCCCGGCTTCTGGATGAAGCACTGACAGAGGCTGGGGTCCATGGTCACCACCGTCTTGCAGTTCAACGCCTTCTCCCGGTCGTTCGTCGGTCGACACCGGACCACGACTTTCACAGACTCCGAAGCCATCCTGCCCCCAGGCGCTGCGTAAAACGGAGCTACCCGAACTGGCTAAATATTGGACCGACGCGCGTTTAAAAGAACATTTTTTTTTCTGATGAATCTGCCGCTAGGATGTGCACCCACTGTGTATTTTCGCGAGGAATCGGATTAAAATAGAGAAAAAAATAGCACCGATTAGCTCAGTAATTCTAAATATATAAACAGTTCGTTTTTTATATATATATCAAGAAACAAAGTTTTTTATACACTAGACTATACGTATAGTAAAATAGCAATCTCGGTACAACTCGGTATACAGTCAGTGCAATCCTATCATGATAAGATATATATATATATTTCGCTTTGCTTTTTTAATAACAGTATTTAATTCACGAACTATAGCTCACGTTCACCATTTTAAACGAGTACTGTGCGAACCTCGCTCATATTCCTGTAGCCCGACATTACTGATGCTAATGCATGCATTCTAAAGGAAAACCATCTTTTTCATAAGTAATAAGCAGCTTTTTGCAACATGCATCTTGTTTAATGACAACGTTCAGACGGCAAGACTATCATCGTCCTTTCATGACAACGTTCCGACAGAAAGATTATCATCCGTTCATCACCACCTTCACTGCGTTTTCATCCTTAATAGACGATGTGGCCGTTCATCTCCCCATATATATATATAAACCATGTGGTTTTACGTCTTTATCTCTGAATAAACAAATACCGATTGCTGCTTTTATCTCTACCTCAACACCAACAACCCTGGTCCTCTTCCCGTGGCGTTCCAGGTTGCCTGGCAACCACAAACTTCTGCGTGCACGTCACCAAAAAGTTTAGGGAGCGTCAATAAAAATAGAGTTGCACGTCCTGTGCATTGTGTGAAGTTTTTTTTTTTTTACCGCATACACATGCTCTGCTGTTCAATGTTGCTTAAGCACACTGGAGATGTATCCAATACTTTTGGAATACCTTTAGTAATTTTAGTAATTCTGATAGTAGACCCCAGGGAATATACTTTATTCTCTCTCTTTTCCAGACAATACTGTACTGAATCAGTCCATTTGAGTGATACCATGCAGCCACAGCCAATATAAACCGTAAGTTTGTCCGGTTCATTCAGGTCGGCTATTTAGACAGGCCTTTATTCAGCATTGCATGAATTGTACGCCACATGCTCCTTTAAGAACAAAACTCTGTATCATTCAATAATTTTAGGGCTCATTCTGGACAGTACTAAAAATGCCTTTGTTAGTAAAAGAAGCGGAATGATATATTCTGACTCATAAATGAAGCAGAATTCATATGAAAGCAGAGCTCCCTCTTGTGGGTTCACAGTACCTAGCAAAAAATGCAAACGCGTGAGCAGTGCTGTAGGTAATAAACGGTAATAAAGATTTTGAAGACCAAAGTTAGTATCAGTACCATATATTAACATTCACACATATCTCCCGATAGTTTCAGTTTTGTACACAAAACACTGTTGAAATATTCAGGTCAGATTTTGTATTCAGCTGAACTTCTTCAATAAGATTCTAGAAATTAAATGCATCCAGTCCTAGCGAGGGCACAGTTCATCGTGCATTGTTTAAAATTTCTGTCACCTCCTGTCAGGTACAGCAGTAGTCGAAAGGTGCACATGTTTCCGGATTGATGGATATTAAATTAGTAACAGAAAGGACATAACCGTGAACAAATATTACAGAAAGATGCACAGGCTTTTACAGTATCTACCAAAGCACTGCAGAAACTACAGAATGATGTGTTGTCCTTACTACAGGTTAGTAACTCGGTTCTTGGGCTTTGAAAGCTGTTTTGAAGTAGAAAGCTGAAACCGTCTTAACAGGTTCACCTTTCACCTGGGCTGCTTCCTTCTCCCCTGTGCGGATATAGACACCTATGTTCCAGAAGTCCACTGCGTAAAGCAATTTTTATTTCCTCTTACTTTTCCCTTGTGCATTTCCTGAGGTTACAGGTGTCACACGCAGCAGTGTGTCACATTTAATTTATTGCAATCAACAGCTTTAGGAATTTATTTAAAAGAAAGGTTTTTGTGCAACAAGGTTCCAGTATTTTGTATGATATAGGAGTATTCTAAACTGTGGAAAAGGACAAACCAGAATTGTTCACTATCTTCAGATTTGATAACTATAACAAGTAATCTTAGCATCAGTCAAATAAACTATTATTTCAGAGCTGGAGTTGCAGCTCATCATACCCACAGAGGATGAGCTGTTATACAGGCTTACAGGAGGTTTGATTCAACATTCAAAATGGAAGAAATAAGATAAAGCCTAAGTGAGTGTGAGGACAAGAAGAAATTAAAAACCTATTGAAATTAGACCAAAGATTTAGAAATAAAATTATCAAAAAATCACAGTTCTTTTCAGATTAGGCTGTTTTTCAAGTTTTAATGTAAACATTATAGGTACAGATATACAAGTTATTTTTAACACATGAGTCTCTTACATTTCAGAAGTACAAAAAATATTTACAAATTAATATACATAAAAAATAGTACATATATACTAATCTAAAAATAGTACATATATACTAATCTCCATTACTGTGCTCCATTACAAGGTTTAAACCTGTTTTAAAGTGTCTCTTGGAAACTAATCATCATTTTAATGAAACATGGAACACTTTTAAGTGAGCAAAGACCCTGAGCAAAGACCCTGACTGCTCACATGGGGAGAAACTTGGATGGATGAAACAAAGAGGAATAAGGTGGTCAAACCCCCATTTCCATTTTCTCACTCATAATCCATCTTTATACTGTAGGCGGGATTGTTGGAGCCCACAGACTGCAGAGGATAGTGTAAACAGATTAACATAAATAAGCATTATTTTCTTAAACATTTACTGTAGACACTGATATTTTAAAACAGCTATCCTGAGGGATTAAAGGGGATTAAGTAAACAATGCAATCAACATTTTTTGACATCATGTTTATTCATGTTACCTATCCTGGTTTTTGCTAGTTTAACTATTTACTGGTTAACAATTTAAAAAATACCAAGATTCATTTAATCATGATGAGCACCATCACTTAAAATAACAGCAGTGTAGGATTGCATACTTAAGGGTTCCAGTAATAGTCTCTACACGTTTTTGCCCCACCCATTCATGACATCATTGTCCACTCCTTCCTTATAGCATTGTAGGAGACAATGTGGAAGTGATGACATGCTCTTCCTACCTTTCCATCCATTAATCCGTTCAGGTTTTGACACGCTGTATGAACTGAGCAATTCAGAGCCATTTGGTGGAAAGGTGTCTCCTTTACTGACTTTACTGCAAGCCTGGAGGCACCCAGGAAGTTGCTTCATAAATACAGGACTGAAAACCACGTTTAGAGTTTATAGATCGTCAGAAAAGGTGATCACATCTAATCCAGCTGGTTCACAGTTCTCCAGTCGGCCTTCCTTGTGCACCCTGCTCCTGACGAGAAGCTATGACAGTTTCTTTCATGATAAGCTTATGCTGATTGTCTCGTTTGGCCTTGCTGAGTGTTTAAAGCCTCTTGGGCCTTCTTCCCACTCATAGCAGTGGTTTACTCGGGCAGAACTCAGGGAACACCCCAGTTCCCCTTGAAACTCTGTGTAGTGCTCAATTAAAGCTCCTATGGTGTCAAAGTTCTTGAGGTGGTTCTGAGGGTTGAACAAAAGAAACAGTCCGTATATATTAAAACAGCTAAAACTGAAGATATTAGTAAACAGTCATTGATTGGGAGGTATAGTAATCTCAGAATTGGTTACATTTTGGGGTTAATCAGTGTCATCACTGTGGAAAGAAGTACAGGGAAGTCTGTGTAATACATTGGTTGTTATATGATAAATAAAAATAATAGTTTTTATTCATACATGAGCATTCGTGCATTCGTGTTATAAAACGCTTGTTTTAGTTTCCAGTCATTTCCTGATACTATTCATAAGGAAAGGAACACTAAATATCTTCGGACCCCTGTAATTTAATTCTTCATCTCGTTGGGACAAGGCTGTGTTGGGAAGTGATGAAAACAGACAGCACACACAACTCCTACCTCCAGAAAATATTTGCCCTCGGCGTTCACCTTGACGTTGTAATTAGCCAGGCCGGAGTGGGTCCGCACGGTGAGCAAGCTGCAGCCAGAGGACCCAGACTGAGGGTGCAGCAGGAAAGCCCCCAGTACATCGTCAAGGAGCAGAGAGGAGCTGCCTTTACTGGAACACACACGCACAAGGCTCTGAGAGGCATCACTGAGGCACCGGATTGAGACTGAAATCTTTTAGTCTCGCATCAGCTCCTGGGTAATTCTGAATTGACTGATCTGGAGTTCAGTTGCTAAGGGCCATGAAAGCTGGGCTGGGCCGTGCATCACTTCCGTCTTTTCATAATTGTAAAAATGCTTGAAAAAGAAATAACTGCTAGTATGGTGAAATGGCAGCAAAGCTGTTCTGAACACGTCAGTCTTAGCACTATGACAAATGACTTGTCCTCGCCTGTCAATTTGATTCTGAAGTGAGAAAAACTGTAGAACGTGGACTACCAACACGCCTGGAAAGCCCCGTCTTCTGCTTTCTGCTTCGGCTTTTGTCTTTCCCAAGCTCTCATTTACATAGTCGGGAATATTTACTGAATTGAATACATAATTGTAACACTACCAATCAGGCTCAAAAGTGTTTTACGGGTCAGTGTCCCTTTAATCAGTGAATGTTTAGAGGACTTCGCTGCAAAAGACCTCTCTTAAAATGGCCCCTTTGATGGGATGACTAAAGTATTTTGATTTGAATTTAGTAAAAAAATAAGTGACTAAGATAATTATGTCAGATGTTTAACTGGCTACTCCAGTTGGAACAGAGCACAGAAGACTCTTGGTGATGGAAACACAGTGGTGCGCTGTGTTCACTGCTCAGCACCAGAGAAGCTAACCTGGCAAGATGTTACAGTCACATACAGTCTTTTAACGACAGGTATTAGAGACCATGTGTTATGTCAATTTGCCAAGGTCCATGGGGAGAGCCAACTGGGATGGTGGGTTCAGGAGTGTGTTGTTGCTACAGAACTGCGTGACTTGTAGTGATTCTTGGCAATTTGACTGCATGGCATTACAGTGATCAACTCCTGGGACCTTCTTGTGGGCTCAGCCAGATGTGACAACATCTCAGTCGTACAACATTGTGCACTGGGGGTGCTCCCCTCCCCAGACATGAGCCCCATTTGTTGGGGCTCAAACAAAACTTGTCTGTGCAAGTGAAAAAAAAAAGATTTTCCTGTTTATCTTTGTGAACGTGTTCATAGTTGATGTGTATGTGATAGGTGTCTTTTGTTGCACAACATAAGTATTCTATCTGACCTTGAAAGTCCTGCCCAGGACCATACTGCCTCTGCTAAGGCTTCCTCTGTCTCTGCAAGGGTGGGAGTACTGCTTCCCTGAATGTCCAAGCTCCTCCAAGCCCTGCCTTGAAACAAAAAAAGTAATTTCTATGAATTGGTTTCTTCACTCTGTTCTCCTCCCCACTGAGAGCTGGTGTGTGGTGATCATACTGGCACACTATTGTGTGTGTTTTAGGTCTGATCGGTATCTTGACAGAAGCTGGACAAGTAGTTAAATATACAGTATCTACACAGGAAAGCCTTTCTCCCTTTATTGTGATCACAGTAGAGTTCAGTGAAGATTTTAAATGAATTTTAATTTCTTATGAAAAATGCCACTTTCCAGAGAACACCTAACACTCTTTTCACACCCTGAGAAACGCCCTGGGATTTTTAATGACCACAGCGTGTCAGGACCTTGGTTTTTCACCTCTCATCCAAAGGACGGCGCCTGTTTACAGTACGGTGTCCCTGTTATTTAAAGGGCGGAAATGGAAACTGCAGCTCTCGCTCCACGAGCAAGGAAATGCCTCACCACAGGACCAGACCTTGGCAGAGCAGGGCAGTGGGGGAGTGCTCACCCTGCGGGGCTTGGCGGCGGTCCTGGCTGGGCCGCGGTGTGTGCGAGCTGTAGGTGAAGGAGCGATAGGCGCCAGAGCGCAGAACTTTGTTCCGGATGGCCTTCTTTCGCACCAGCGTGGGAGAGGAGACCTGATTCTCTTCTGGGCTGCTCTGCTGCTCCTCATCTGGAGTGGGTTCCTGAGACCAAAAACAACACTTATCACTGTCGGGTAACAAATGCACCCCTGTGTAAGTTTTCCTATCCTTATTATTCTCTGCTCTGTTAGTATCAAGCATCTGCTTTCCTGTCCAGTCAAAATTTGTGATTTATAAAAGGGTTAAAAAATTAAAAATGAAACGGCACAGAGCTTGTTGGACTCAGATCACTATCATCAATACCAGGAACCAACTAAGTACCTATATAAGAGGAAGCTCAGCGAGAAGGAATAGCACATCCACAAGGATGATGGCAGGGGAAAAGAAAAACTGTTTTTATTCTGCAAAGCACTTTTTTTACTTACTTCAAAGTAAGAAAATTAATAAAAAGAGAGAATAAATAATTACTGTGCTTTAAAACGCAGATGAAAAGAAGACAAACAGGTAGAACATAAAAAGAGTTTCAGACAACAGATTGGTAGCTAATTGATCCCAAGATCTCATCCTGACATTCTTGAAAGAAGCCAGGATATCAGCATCAACAACATGGCTGGTCAGCCTGTTCCCTGCTCCCACAAACTTTTGGGTAAAAAAGGATCCTCTCTCGTCTGTTTTGAATGCACAGTTCACTGTGTGCTCTCTGGTTTGTGTTGTTCTGAAGACGTTTGCTGGACTGAGTTTATGTCTTTAAAGATTTGGAATACTTGTAGCAGATCTCCTCAGAATCTTTTCTGTTGAAGACGAAAACCATGGGATTCCTTTAGACACAGTAGGTCTGTCATTGACTCCCATCACAGAATAAAGCCAAGACTCACCTTTTCACTGGGCACCAGACCCCCCTGGGTGGGAGCCCTGCGGAAGGAAACCAGGGCGCTGACATTGAGGGAGATTCCCTGGTTGAGCAGCATGGGGGGGCGGTCCGGGATGGGGCTTACAGACAGCTCCTGCACCTCCTCTGGGTGTTTCTGGAGATAAACCAGCTGGAAGCAGCGGCACAGCAACAGGTTCAGAAACCGGGCCTGAGATTGGACACACATTAGCAGGGAGAGCGGTCAGTGCTTCCTTTTGAACAAGAGCGGGGGAATAAAACATGATGCTCTCCTGACAGAATAAACACAAAGAAGCTTCTCTGATATCAGCACAAAGGTAAAGACTCACTTAACAGCTTCTGCAAAAAGAAACAGATTGGGGAACAAACAAATTATAATAACAATTATAATGCAGGCGAATACAGTAATCCTACAGTCCTCCTTGACTTCTCCCATGATCCTTTTCATACTCAGACCTGTCTTCAAGCACAACTCAATACTCACATACCGAACAGCTTTTCCCTTTCCAAAATAACATTATGTTCCATGTCTTGCATTAACAAATATGAAATAGTGTCCTGAACTACAGTCTTGAGAGAAAAGTACAAGTTACAGCTGTGGTGTCAACTATCTTACTGAATTAGCCTGGGAGGTGCTGCCATGCACCTTTCCCAGTCAAAGCACGCCGAGACCTTGCCTGGTAGCTGCCCTTACCGCCCTGGCATGCCTGCCCTTGAAAAGGTGACAGTACAGCTGGCTATCCGGACACCCAGGGTTGTGCGAGACAAAGGCAAACTGGGCTTCTGAAGGGGAGCAGGTGGAGAAGGACACCCTCCGCAGGGCGTGAGCCATCAGAAGGACCTGAGAACAGAGCGACCAGAGGCAGCTGTCACAGCCCTGCGAGCACATTCCCAGGCATGGCACAGCTATAATGTATAAGGCATTTCACTTAGTCTTTAAACCCTGGCAGCCTTTATAGAGACTGGGACAAAGGCATAAAAAGTTTTAGACCAGCAATAAATACATTGTGCCAACATCTGAACAAACAGGGTCTGACACCTGGCATGTCTAGCTAAAGTTACAGTTTAAACCCATTCTTGCCTGTGTCCACCTTCACAATAGAATACCTTCACTTCTGTGTATGATTTAGTATCACAGTTGACACCGTCTGTGAAGCGCTGTTCACATCCCGATTTTGGCAGAAAAGAATAAATCAGGGAGAGGCATGATGGCTGCCTTGCAGCACAAGGGCTGATGGTTCAGCTCTGGACCTGGGGTGGTATCCGCATGGTGTTTGTATGTTCTCCCCGTGTTTGCGTGATTTCACTTTGGGGGCTCCACTTTCCTCCCAGAGTTCAAGGACAAACTGGTCAGATAATTGTGTGTCTGTGTCTCTGTGTGCCCTGGGATGGACCGGTGTCCCATCCAGTGTGTATCCTGACTTGCATCCATTGAGTAGTAGGATAGGCTACGGCCCCCCCACAACATGAAGCAGTTAGAAAGTGGACGGAAAGATAACTTAAGTCCTTTTACTCCTTTTACAGGTGACACAAAATATTCTGCCTTTGATGAACAACAGGTTGTAAAGGCTGGCAAAACACAAACTGTTTCTTACGTTCTCGTCCTCGTCATACATCTTCAATCCACTGAGGGAGAACTTCAGGGAGACAGGTCTCCGTCTGTTGCAGTCCTGGGAGGAGGGGAAAGTTAGTCAAAATGAAACAACGAGAATTTAAATGGTATAAAGACCGTGTGAGTCTGGGCTGAAATTCTCAACAAGAAGCACAGGTACTCAAGCAGCTGAAATGGATATATGGTCCTTATTTAAGTTTTCTACATGTACATTTACATGATAACTTGAGTGTCAATGAGGAACAATGTCTAAAATGTGCACATACCTCAGAATTTAAAAAGTAAAGTTAGTCCTTAAAAATCCTAATATGTTTACCTTAATTGTTCAAAATTATCCTTATACTTTACAAACCCCAGGTACATACCATACCTAGAGCAGGACCCGAGCTATTTTAGATGATCATAATCTATTTTTCCCAATATAGCTAGGAATCAACTTTTATCTGAAACTCTGCTATGAATCCATTTTAAAAGTTATTTCGTTCCTACCTCACAATTCTGTAGTGTAAATCTGAATAAAATATTCAAAAAACGTACCAAGATCATTTCATTAATACTGGATAAGGAGCAGTGTAAAGTGAAGAGTTTACTCGTAGCGTTTCTGGCAGCCATCTTTAAAATATTAGAATTATATGGTCACAAACTCCAGCCAGTACTGAAATTTGTAGTAAATGAAAAGTCCAGCGTGCTCAAAAGGCTAACAAGGAACAAAGTGGTGACAACACTTGCTTTTTTACAGCTGGAATGACTCAGAGTTCAAGGCTGTGGATGACAGCACTGAACACCTGTAGAGTCTGTCAAGCCCACCTTGAGAGACTGCAGCTGCTCATGGACCAGTTTGGTCTGCTCATCCAAGCAACAGTCTTCCACTGGAAAGGAGCCCACATACTGTACATAGGGAACAGAAACATGGGCTTGATGTAAAATGGGGCAGAATACTCAGGGGCTAAAGCCCTGCAGTATATGTGAAACAGACTATAGCACAACTTAGAACAGAGGCCTCAAACTCAGTTTTGGAGGGCAGGCAACCTTCGGTGGTTGTTTCACCTGAGGTCTTAGTTATTTAGTGGCTCTAGTTATTTAAAGCTCTCAGTTACTTAGTTGGTCTAAGTATTTAGTTAACGTCATAACTGCAGTGCTTCTATCCAGGTGGGGCTACACATTGGTGGTGGTGGAGGGGAGTCCCCATTACCTGTAAAGCGCTTCGAGTGGAGTGTCCAGAAAAGCGCTATATAAGTGTAAGCAATTATTAATTAATTATTATTATCCAGTCTCTGGTATATTTCAAAAGTAATCATGATATCAGCCAAACGGAAAAGATGTTAAGAAAAATCTTGTTTGTGTGCAATCAGGAAAACAAGCCTTTTAGTTGTTAAATTGACTACATGGGATGCATAAAAACCGATACCAGGCCCTCCAGGAACTCATTTTTAGGCTCTGTTCTAAAGGCTCAGTGTGCCCACCGGCAGCAGCATGGAAATGTCAAGAATGTGAGGGGGTGAGAGGAACAGACTGACACCACATAACACGATAAGGATGCAATAGCTGTGGTCATGTAAACATTTAGAGACATTTCATTCACCACTGCGAGTGGAAACTAAAACTACCGAGAGCACAACCGGATGTGAGATTTGTAAGAAAAAAAGGAAATAAATACAAGACACTGTAGATTGGAAAAGCAGAGGTAAGAGTCCCCAGACGTGAAAAAAATATATAACAATGATCGAGACTGACATTCAAAATGTAGATGCAAAACGGTATAAAATTGACAATATTCTCATCCTAAGAAAAGTAATGCATACAGGTGTCATTTATATAGTATGTCACTTTGGAGTGTCTTTATCATTCACTGCAATGGAATGAGTTGAAAAATAATACAAACTGAAGTAAAACAGACAAATAGTGCATTTTGAAAAGGGGTGAAGTAATCAAATCTTTTTAACAGGAATATAGAGAGTGATCTGTACAAATCTGAATGGCCTGTTTTTGAAAGAAGTAACAACAAAATCAACAGTTAAATAAACGCTGTAACAATTTTCACAACAGTATAACATGGCACAAGTTTGATTCAAGAGTTTTTAGACAGAATTTGAAGTTTGCTCTTTCTTAACAACATTTTGTGAAGGTTTAAGATACAATAATCAGAAACCATGTGGTACTCAAATGTTCAGAAGATTTACATACAGGATTTGATATCCCATATTTCCTGACACAGGCATCTGCTTTTAATCATTATAAAAACAGACTTGTTTGTGATATATAGAGGGGAATATACTGTATATCATTCACATTACACAGGTGTTTGATTAGTTTCTACTTTCATGTGCTATGAGCAGCTTTGTAATATTTAATTTAAGTTAAAGTCTTATATTAAAACAATGTTAAACAGCATGTTTCTTTTACTTATCAGCACAACGTATACAAGAGCCTGCAGCTGGCAGAACCTGCGATGAATGAAAATGATATGCAAATAGTGTCTATTGGTTTATCTGATGAACAGGCCTGAAAGAATGTTGACACCTCATAATGGGAGCTACCTGCATATTTCACAAGTATCCTATCAAGTAAAGCAGGGTAAACCTTTTTAGCCACAATCAGATGCATTAAACCCGGCCTTGAAAGGATCTTTTGCAGTGGAATCCCAGCAAGGAAGGGATTTAAACAAGTCAGTTACACTATACTGTTTTTTTTGTTTTTGAGCATGCCTGCAGAATAACACAAAGGCAATGCAACGGCTCACAGAACCTCGACAATTTCAGTTTCAGTCCACTTGCTGCCACTGTTTTGATCTTGAAAACTAGCAAGAAAACAAATGAGCCATCGAATAAAGCCTTCGCTTAAAATTCAGAATCACTCTTTTTGAAGGGCTACTGTACCTCTGCCGACCTGGTCACAATGCTCGCTTCCCTAGTCGGAGTCTCACACATTCCACCGGTGTGGTCTGCCCTGTTTTCAATTTGCTGCTCCCTGCCTTTGCCAGGCAAACTGAACCCGAGACCCTCTCGATGCTGCAAGCCTAGGAGAAATAAAAGCGAGAGAAGCAACATGACTGATTGCTGCAGTCGCCCTCATGAAGAGAGGCTGCACTGCGATGCCTTTGTGGTTAGAGCACCAGAGTGCTCATGCATTGTGCAGGCAAAAGGAAATCAGACGATAGCATGAGGTGTGAACCTAGTTTGTCTCTGCTTATTAAAGAAGTCTGGGGTGAAGTCAGTAAGGAGGAAGTTAAAAATAAAATCTACTCTACCTAGTAAATACGTACACCTTTTAATAAAGCATCTCAAACTATATTTCTATAGGAACACAAAATATGCATTTATAACTACAATTATTTAATGAAATTAATACTAATTAATATTTATAATATCACACATTTAGAATGAATAACTCATATTCACCATTCAGATCATACTGGCACACTATCAAATGTTCTCATTAACTACTTCTGACGATTCTTGACAGGCAAAGTGCCTTTTGTGCTTCAGTGACGAGTCATGTCATGTTTTAAAATGTGAGCTTCCTTCTCTGCCTGGGTTTTAACAGAAGTCTTGGAGGTAGGCATGGAAACCTGCGGATGACGTTTGAAAGGGGTTCTGAATTTGCTCCTTATTGGCGCAAACCCAGAATAACGGTGTACTCCCTTATGTCCTTCATTTATATGGCGTCTGTGAATCTAGAAGTTAAAATGACAAGCTAAAACAAACTTAAATTTGAAAATGAAGGCCATTGACTAGAAATTTTTGGAGAAATGGATTCTATCTCACGTCACTGTCTTTTCATTAAAATCATTTCCTTCATGGAAAAAAATTGAACCAGTTCTGCCTCTGCACATTTCTACTTTTACAGTTTTAAGATGTCATAAATAGGATTAGAATTAATTAATAATAATTATAATTGCTTACACTTATATAGCGCTTTTCTGGACACTCCACTCAAAGCGCTTTACATGTAATGGGGACTCTCCTCCACCACCACCAATGTGTAGCATCCACCTGGATGATGCGACGGCAGCCATAGTGCGCCAGAACGCTCACCACACATCAGCTATCAGTGGGGAGGAGAGCAGAGTAATGTAGCCAATTCATAGAGAATTAGTGGCTGGAATTGTTGTGTCACTATTATTTTCCCCAAAAGCTGCTATATCAGAGGTTAGACAACGCCAGACCCTGGGCTGCGTCGAGCCCATGGAGACAAATTGACTTAAACTCACAAACTGCAGGTTTGCACTGCTGTAAGAGTTCCTAAATTCGGACTGCTTGTCTTAACCTGTAAAATGCAAACAAACCTTCATTTGTATTTAAAAAAAATACTGCGCAGACATTTTATGTATAGACAGTCCTCTTTGTGTGACATGTCTAAACTCGCGTCTTGTTAGAGTGTTATTCTTTTTTATGTAAGACCAACTCCCCTCCTGAAGGTATTTTTTAGTATGAAAACGGTTTATTATGAAAAGAGATTTAGAAAGCAAAACTGTGATGCTGTGTCATGTCCATTGATGTAAAAACCCCAACAACGAGGACAATTTGAGATAACCCGGACTTCCACATCTCCCCCCCATCTTAACGAATACTGTTTGGACTAATAAAACATTTTAAAGAAGTATTTTATTTTTGTCATACCCACTGAGCCACAGACACAGAAACATACAAGACTATGAATAAAGAAAATACTGCTAATAAGTATTGTCAGTTTACAGTGAATGAATCGAGACATGCATTCATTTACAGTCCAAAGGAAGAAAAAAAAAACGATCTGACACACAAATATAAAATGAGCGGTAGTAGTTCAGGTGGGTAGCTGCGTCAGCATGCGTAGGCTGCAAAGGAACAAGTGAGGTTTCTTTTACCCAGTCCTCGTACTCTTAAATATCAAAGCCAATACACAAGTTCCAAAAAATGGACTAAAACGTACAGTATAATTAGCAAAATCGTCATTTCACTACACGAGTAAGTGCTTCGTGTCCAATCTGATGTGGAGCCCCTAAACTGGACAAAATGTTACATGCTGCGACCACTCACCTCTGCTTTCACTACGCTCTACCTTGTGGGTCCTGTTCTTTGCGCACTCGAGTTCGTCTCGTTTCAAAAAAACTGGCAGACGAAGGGGAAATCATATCCCACACAGAGGTTATGAGCAAAAAAAAAAAAACGTTATGCGCGACTACTCCTTAGTTAACACTCACAGGCGGCCCATGGAGCTCTTCAGTCGCCGGAGTACCAGCAGACAGCGCAGCGCACTTTCACAATTCTGACTCATTCCCCAATCCTTCGCGTCACCAAAAATACCGAGAACACGTTTCACATTTCCAGCTTCATCACATTTGGTGGTTTAAACCACACATAAAATGTGGATAGCGACTTCTTAAGACGTTTTATTTTCTTCGCCTTTTGTTTCTTAACTATTTTCTGGAAATCGCCTAGTCCTGTTCCTTCGGGCAGCGTTAATACCTCCAGGTACGCTCGCTGAAGGTGTGGCTCTCCCTTGGTAAATTACTAGAAATAAAGGAATGAACTGCACAGCCCATCCTTAACCGATATTAATTAAATTCATATTTTCATAACCCCGTTCTAGACCCGACTGGAGGGTGATGGCATGAGAGCAGAAAAAGTTCGGTCTAAAAAATAAAAATAATCGAAAGTATACCTCGTGTGTTCCCAGGTTCACGCCTTTCCAGTAAACTGATCTTTGTCTCTTATCGTGGGAAGTTCCGTTCCTGCAAACCCAGCGGTGGAGTCCCAGGGTTAGATTTTAAAGAGGCAATGATGATGGAGTACGCCCTGGAGGACATTGTTGCGATGAAATGGTAGAGGAATTATACGACAAATATAATTGCAAGTCACTCTGGAAAATGTGTTAGCCTATTACAGCTAGGTAATTCACAGCAGTGCATTTTTCTATCATTCTTAAAGTGTAGCAATTTAAATCTCATATTCTTAAACATAGATTACTTCCATACAATTGGGTATGATGGCGTGTACAAAATACAGTTCTTGTGTAGTGAAAGTATTACAGTTGGTGAAGTGATAACGAGTTTCAGCTTTGTATGTCCTCTGCTTTTGTGGCGCACACAGCTATTTGGAAATACATTTTCACCTGTCTCAAATGAAACACGAGAAAATGACACAAAACTACAATATGAAACGGGCATCCAATACTAGTAGGAAATGAACTAGTAATGAATCGTTTCTAAATTATCGCCAGTCACCTCAGTGGTTCGGTGACAAGCAATTAGACTTCCATGTCTGGGACAGAACTGCGCACTAGAGCAGAACATTTTTAGTTATTTTTCCTGGAAAAGAATAGCGTTTGGATGAAAGCTAGATTTCAATTTACAATCTCCTGATACACAAAGACATTGTAATGCACTACAGACGATATGTGTTGTTGGGAAATAAGAAATTCGAAGTAAAGAAAAACTCTGCAGACACGCAACTAATTATTATGCATAAGGCATCCATATCCGAATTACAAGAGTATTTAGAAATAAAAGGTGAAGATATCGGAAAGACAGTAACTTCTCAGACGGTAAATCTTCTTTGCCAGATTAAGAAAACTTTTGAACAGTACCTCGACAATCGAGTCTGTGTAACTGTCAGGTGATGACAGATTCCGATCATTTATGACCAGGGCTCCATCAATGACCACGTGTCATTTTCGTGTGAGCCAAAGTTCAGATGCAGCATGGGCACAATTCTCCTTCTGTTCGTGTTTTCTCCTTAATTTCCACGAAGATATTCAAACAGGCTTATGACTGAACATGGAATTGAGACAGAATTTGCTGTACTGTAGTGTAATTTCTTCTGAGCTTTTCAAAAGTTCTGATGTCCAGCACAAAAGTGCCTGAATGATGGAACCCAGGGCCACAGTCCTACAAGTTTGGGAGATCCAATGGCTGAAGACACAGATTTAAATGATAGTTCTACCAATTAAATATACAGTATTACCTTAGGCTGAGGAGTGAACATTCAAACAGAAAAACCAAAACACCCCAGGGATATAGAATCATGTTTCTACAGGTTAAGCTGGTTAGTCTTGTTGCAGGGAGACCCCAATTAACAAGGGTTACACAACTAGCAAAGTCAGAAGGTTTTAGTGCCTGATCTTCAAACGTTTTTCAGCCCTACACTAAAGCCCATCTTATTCAGATAAGCCATAACATAGGGTTTTATTGATTTTCTGAAATCTGGAGAGCCTTTTCATCACCATTACCACTATCGCAACACTTTAAATCAGGTATAATGTTCCATCACCACACGTTTGATAAAGTCAATGACTCAATTGTCAAACACATGGACATAAAGATTGCTGAGCCACTAAATTTTGGGACACCTTACACAGCCTGGGCGAGTACAGGAAACCACAAGAGTGCACTGCAACATGATGTGTGCATTCGTCTCCTGTTGCTGATTGTGACTTGGGGTATATCCTGTTGTTCACTGTCCCCATGACACACGGGCTACTGTAATAATTCACAGTTGAAACTGTCCGAATAAAAGAGAAAAGAAGGCTATTAAGAGTTTTGAAAACACACCAGGTCAATATTTGCCGTAAACCAGGTTTAAAGAAAACCTGTCACAAAATAAGAGAAAGCAATCACAGGAGAGTTTTGACAAGGGTCCAGAACTTCTTTAAGCTGCCTCTGTCTGCAGAACTGAGCAACGTAACCTATGTGTTCTGTTCAGATGCTGTTTTTTGGAGAGTTGAGAGGCTCCATGGGTTAAGACATTCACTTTGAGAGTAGGCCGATCGGAGCTCTGTGATCTGAAATGTTCCAGGGTGGGTGAGCTGAAGGAGCTTGTCTGCCTGTCTTCATTCTGCCCATGTAGTTACAGGAGTCATCAAAGTGAACAGAGAAGCAAAGCTACCATCAGTGATTCAAGTGCAGAGTGGCAAATTATAGTTTACACACTACTTTCTGCTCTATTCCAGTGACAGTAAAACAGTGGGCGCATGTAAAACTTAAATATCGTTCCGTTTCTTTTCTTCTGAGGATAATTCTACTCTGCTGGTAGGTATTATTGGATGTCTTTGCACTACAGAAGATCGGTGGGGGGGGGGTATTCTGTTTAACTGTTTATATGTATATTGTACATTATAACACCTTTGTTAATATAGTTTAATGGGCATTTTGTTCTTGTTCATGCTGAATCATATGCTCATCAAAGCATTCAAGCTGTTATATTGTGGGTCAATTTAATATATGTCATATGATTGTTTTCTCTTTTCCGGTAACTACAGAACGTACTTCATCTTCTGCAATGTACTGATAAATTGATTAGCCTAAATGTATCAGTTTGATCCAAAGCCTACAAAACAGTCAAACTGCTAGCACTCAGAGGGGATCAGCAATATTTGGCGATATGCACAAGGCTGGGCTGTCTATTCTCATCAGTACTGTTTTATTCTTGCACTAGTGAAGACATATTTTTGCATATCAGTGAACCACTTCACAGTTTTATGAAAACACTTTCGTGAATAAATCTCAGAATGCAAACTGCTGTTTTACACTGTTGGCTGAGTGAGCTACTACTACTTATTTAGGATATTAAGACCAACAGAGATTGTCTTCACCATCAGTCAGTGACAAGAGAACCATTGAGCACTGTGAGCCCAACCAGTAGTGAAGAGATTAATATTACAAATCTTAATTAATAAAAGAGGAAGGCAACTTTTGTGTTTTTTCTGAATAATTAAATTTAGAAAAACAAACTGCACAGAGTACATGACTTTGTCATATTCATGCTCAGCACACATGTACGTAGCAACGTCAGACTTGCCAGAATTTTTCAGGAGAAAATAACATGAAGTACACCAGGCCCCAAATTCAAAACATACTGCTTTGTTCCATCAGACTGAAAACCAGCACAGATATCATTCTGAAGTTAGGAGCTGAAAACATCGAAACAAGCGACTGAAGCAAAATGATTTACGTGGGAATTAAGTTTTTGTCTGGACTCATAGCTGTATATAACTCCCTTCAGTGAAAACATGCAGTTTCTTACTAGTTGTAAGCAAGTTATCCTGACATGAAATCAAAGAAAAAACACCATTTGTAATTATTTCAACCAAGCTCATTTTGTTACGAGCAACCAAACAAATGAAATACAGTTAATCAAGTACAAATATACAAGTAACTTTATTAATGGCTACAGAATAAGCATCACAAATTAGGGTATGACATGCACGTAAAGAACATATTGAGCAAAGTTCTAAAGGGTTATCCAAAACAAAGTCTTCTTAATCACAGCCATACACTAACACACAGAGAATATGGCCAAATTCAAATTAGCCTTTCACTTTAATTCGTTTATAGAATACAGCAACAAAAAACAGGTAACTTTAAAGGACCACTGATTTAAATAAGCTCTTTTACTCTTTTAAGATAAGCTTATCAGTTTTTACAAGACTATTTTTGGAATGAGTTATATATATTCTTTGAACTACTATCGATAATAGAAAAGCTACACCAAAATGTGTTCTTCTTCAACCCATTCCAAATAACTTGTCCTGCTTAATACTTACAATCTGTCATCCAATCATAGCCCTTTCTGTCCAATTTGCTCCACCTCCCTTCTGATGAATGACAGTTTTTCAGCTTTCAGACTGGAACCATATAACATTTGGAAGCTATAGCCAACTGCAGTCTAGTTTTCCTTCATAAGAGTTTAAGGAGGAAAAATCTTCAGTAATCCTAAAAAGAAGCTGTCCTGTCAACATCATAGTTGAAATCTGAACAGGAGGTCTAGACGGTGCTGAAATAAATGTCCCTCCGTTTCATTAAGAATGTCCTTGGCACTTCCAGATTAAAAACGACAACAGAAAAAGATGTCGGACAAAAATCGTAGTGACGTGAGTGAGGTACAAGTATGAACTTGAGAAACACTGGTCAAGATAATATCCCTTTAAGGCTTTACAAAGACTTCCAGAAAGGTGACAACCATTTGCTCAAGAGCTGGAGTGAAATGGACACAAAATGATTCAGACGGAGACAGTAACAGACATACTGTACAGAAGTAACGAACCTAAAACCTTTAACTGTTGTTCAGGGCAAAAGTCTGAAGTTAGAGTTACAAAATGCTTAAATCTTTACCAACTGGTTGAGTGGTTTAAAGAGACATCTTACATTTAAAAAAAAAAGAATATTTGCCTGCTCTTAAGGAACTGGCAGGCCAGGCACAGTTCACTTTATGCTGTGAGCTGACTTAAATTTACCGTGGAACGTATTCACAGTACGTGAATAACTAAATAAAAAAAACTTAAATGACATTTACATTTGCAGTGTACTCTAGTTTTAATCTATTTTAGAATCGCAATATTTGGCTTTGAGAAAGGAAAAGCTGGTCTTCCTTACAACGCAAGCACTAAAAGTTCCCTACCATAAAAGCCCATTTTTTTTTAAAGTAAATGTCTGAAATCATTAAAATTGGCAGCTGGGTTAGCTTTGTTTTTCGTGTAAAACATTTTCCTGCCTTAAAATGTAAAAACAAAGAGATATTAAAAACAGAAGAGCCAAGGTTTAAAAGGATGCCTGTTTCCCCCACATGCAAACCTAAAGACTAAGGAGCAGAAAACAAAACCGGGAGATGGAACAACAGAAAGACGAAAAAGCATTGCAGTGTCTAGAGCTACAGTTAACCTTTAACCCCCGCTGCGATCACTTCCTCGTCCGCTGGGATTTGCGTGCTGCTGGCTTGGCCTTCACGGGCGACTTGGCCGGAGTCTTCTTGGCCGGCGGTTTCTTGGAAGCCCGGCTCGTCATCTTCTTGGTCGCCGGCGTCTTGGGCTTCTTCGAGGGGGCGGCCCTCTTGGTCGGGGATGCCTTGGCGGGCGCGGGGGCCTTCTTGGGGGGCGCTGGCTTCTTGACGGGGGCTGGCTTCTTAGCCGGGGCGGGCCGCTTGCCCTTCGGGGAGAAGACCTGGGTGCTGGCCTTCTGCGCCCCCACGCTCCTGTTTTTGCCCGCCGGCATGGGGCGCTTGGGAGCGGGGGGGGTCCGCACTTTGGGCGGGGGGCGCTTCTGAGGTGGCCTGTGGGAGGCACAATAGAAAGTGAAAGACCGCACCCACCCGCCACTGTGATCCGTGCGATTTCACTGCCTGACGGCACTTCGCTGGCGTTTCCTGCAGAGGTCCGGCACTGTAAACTACTAATGATCAAAAACCTGAGTAGCCAAGCATCTAATTTCTTTCTTTTCCAGTGGAAGATTACTCAAATATTCTACATGAGCTTTACATCTGGGGCTTTAAATGTGCAAAGGCGCACCCTTATCACACACCTGACATACTCAGCAAATGCTGTAAAATAATATGCAGCAGTCTTCCTTTGGTGAGGTGCGTGCGTACAGTGAATTCGTACACTGAGATCACCAGGCCTCAGGTTTTACAGAGCTGGCCTGCCGTTTCTGTTCACTCACCTTTTCTTGGGAGGTGGCTCTTCCTCCTCAGATTCCGACTCTTCCTCGGACTCCTCTTCCTCGGACTCCTCCTCCTCAGAAGACTCCTCCTCGTCCTCCTCCCCTTCCTTGTGTTTGTCAGGGAACAGAGTAGCAGGGCTGTTGGGAGAGGGAGAAAGGTCTACAACAATGGTGCTAACACTGCTACAAATTTTAGCATCTTCCCTGTCACAGAATGTGAATACAGCAAAATGAAAGGCTAACCTATTCCACATATATCAACGCACTTCAATCTTTAAACAGAATCAGATGCTTTTTGGCTCCTGGTCTTTCAACCACTTGTGCACATTTAAACCTCAGATTCCCCTGTACAGTTATCTAAACATGCCCTAGATTTAACAGCAAGTCTACAAAATACACATGCTTCATAATTCTAGATTATTTATAAAGATGATTTTCCTCTCAACAAAAGGATGACAAGTTTTCACCATCAGTAAATCATAGCATCAAACGATATGTTTTCCCATTAGCGTATGAAACAATGATTCTGTTTAAAAGGGACTCAAGGGGATTCGTTCAGGGCCCTCTGGGCACCTCCTGCCTCCACATCGAGAACCTACCTGGGGTAGTAGGGGAAGCACAGCTGGTAAGTCCCACTGAATCCCTTCCCAGAGATCTGCTCCATCCAGCCGAACATCTCACACCTCCGCAGGGTCCTCTTCAGGTTGTTGACTGAGCGGAGAGAACAGAGACGGTAATAAACTGGTACATCAAAATAACACTCTCCATACAAAAGTCAGCTTTCCCAAAAGAAACACCTACCGGGTACATTTTCTTCTACTTATGAGGGGATACAGTGGCAGCTGATGCTTACACTGCCATTTAGTCACAAGTACACGGATGAACGATGCAGTGACAGAACCAGTTACTATCTGGAGATGCAGGCTTTGAAATGCAAAGACTCTGTTGATCTAAAGCATGGCACAAACACATGCAGGAAGGCCATGGGACCCTCCTAACTGAATAGGAGCCACAAGATCTTACGCTGGAGGTAGACCTTCCCGCCCTGGTTGTTGTCCAGGATGAATCTCTTGAGCGCAGTGGTGCTGCAGGTTTTGGGCTCGTTCATGGCTGTGATGGCCGACAGGATGGCCTCCTCGAGTGGGCTCCGGTTCAGGAGAAACTTTTCCCCTGCCTTCTTGATCTGAAAGACAAAGCAGCGCCAGTAATTGCTCTGAATGCACCTGCCGGCGATGAAATCCGCTGCTCTTTTTTCCAACACGAGCCAACTGAGCAGCCTTCACATATTGATCTCTAAAAAGAGCGGATCACATAAGGATCCCTGAATAGTGCTTCTATAAATGGTAAATAAGGACGTGGAATAAATCTGGACTACTAACACAGGAACAAGTACAGGTCCACTGCATCATTCAAGTGGCACATTTGTTTGTGGAGGGGAGTCTCCATTACCTGTAAAGCGCTTTGAATGGTGTCCGGAAAACCGCTATATAAGTGTAAGGAATTAATATTACGTTTGCAGCCTACACACTGATGCAGCTCCCCACTGAAATTAACACTTGTACTATACAAAAACAATTGCATGCTTGTACATCAGCTGTAAACCATAAGATCTCACTGCTGCTTTCTTCTGAAAAAAGAATGAAAACTATTCCTGTACTTATAAAATAAATTCCGAAATTGCCTTTTATACCTTGTCTTATGAGTAGAGACTAGGACTCCACTATAGCTACATGACCTTTGTGAACTCCTTTGTGCAAGATGCCATAAAAATTGCTGCATAGAAGACCTCACCATTTGTTGCACGTGATTGTACAAGCATCATGAAAAAAGTTCCATGTACTCCTTTTGTTTGAAAACGGGATGCACAGAGCTTTCTCATGATGCTTGTACAATGCAACAGGCAATTTGAAAAAGATTTTTATACTATGTAAAAGGCAATTCGAAAAGAGCATTAGGAATATTTTTTTTTGATTGAATAATAATTATGCTGCTGCTTGAGATCTCCAAATAAAGCTGATGGCTTTATTCTCATTCCTTTACCATCATTCAATATAAAAGTGTTAGATCAAAATTATACATCGATCTCTCAGTAAATCCCATATTCCTAAATGTATCATAACTGGACAAAAAACCTAATAAGAACAGAAATAAAGAGTATATGAGGTTATGAGCAGAAGATGATTAGCAAGCAGAAGAAGAGTGTTGTGTTACAACATTGTGTGTTCAGTTTGAGAGTCAGCCCCAGATATGCAATACAACATCGAACAGTTAGAATAAATTAAATCAGATATAGCAGGCTCCGTCACTAAAGAGAACAACAGGGTTCCCATGTTGCCTATCCCAAATGACGTGTGCAACATTAATTGTTTAGCCCAGGAAATGAGGGCTCACCTGGAAGGTTCCTGATGCTCCCTTGCCAGTCAGTTGTTCTAACTGGCCTTTCTCTACAGCTCTCTGTAAGGCATTTTTTAATATGTGGGGTCTGGAACCAAAAAAAAGTGGGAATGCATTCAGTTGATTAGCTTCATAAAAAAATACTATTAAATCAAGGATTAACAATCAGGAACAGATGTTCTTCTACACAATGCAACACACTTGTAAGACGACCCCGCCATCGCTACCTGCTGTCCACTTTCAGCTTGGGGAAGTACTGCTCCACATATTTCTTGATGAGGCGGTAAGAGGCCTCCTTGGGTTCACAGAGGCGTGTGAAGATAAGAGGCAGAGTGTCCTCCAGCTTTTCTGTGGGCTCTGGCATGGTCACTGCTCTGGAAGGACCCGAACTGCTCTTCTGGAAAAAGCAGAGTATAATATCAGGAAAAAGAAAACAATACCAGAATCTTATATCGTCCCCTTTCTGTGTCTGTGCTATTATTTATACTTGTGCCTAATAGCTTTTTTCAAATTTTGCACATTCCATCTGATCTCATAAATATCGCTGCCGAGCCCTAAATAATCTTTAAATAGTCTTGCAATGATCCAGCTTGAAATGCAATCAACAGCAAAATTCCTGGTTAGGCTGTGCGCCCTGATCCCACAAACACATAACTAGAGTTCCTGAAGTGATCAGGGGTTTTGGCAAGACATGGGAGCTCCTGGTAAAAATATTAGCCGTCTTGCTTTTATCATGAAAATCTGAGCTTGCACTAGCAGCCCATTAAATTCCAGCATCCTACGATTCTACTGATTGTCCAGTTTTACGAGCCCAGTCACAATGCTCTTCCTCCGCACAGCTCCTGAGAGGACACCCATCCGTAGGGCTGTATTCTCCCTCCCACTGTGACCTGTGTGGCAACGAGAGGCTGAGGAGCTGCGGGGTTGGTCTCTTACCTTCTTGGATTTCTGGGCTTGCTTACTGTTGCTGGAGACCACAGTAAAGCTACCGGAGAAGCCCTTGCCTTTCACCTGCCAGACAAAGAGCGGCACGTGATGAACACAGAGACACAGACATTATCAAGTGGCATCAAACCAACTCTAGAGTAAGCAGCATGCCAGCTTCACAACTTATTTAACGGGGAACTACAGTCACAATTTCAGACCGGTTATTAAGGGGGAACTGCAGTCTCAATTTCGTAGACTCGGTAACAGAATAAATTAATTGACAAATCAAATTTCAAATAAAGTACACGATTGCGAACTTTGTGAAGGTGCTGTATGGCTGCCATGTTGTTGCAGGCAGATAAAAAAAAGATGCTGTTCTCTTCACGAGCGAGAGTGATAGTTTGAGGAAATCGTGATGTCCTGGATGCCCCAGTCCTTTCCAAAGTTACCCCCCCCAACACAGGTTCCTATGCTTACAGTTGGAAGAGCTGTGGTAAAAACACTTTCTTCAAGGGTACTACAGGGGTGTCAGCTGCAGAGACTTGAATCCCTGACACCCACTCCATACTGATCCCAAACAACACGCATCGAATCTTGAATATTAACAGGAAGAGTAAAAAAAAAAAAAAACAGTACTATGCAAAAAATGTGAATCATATCTCTTAAAGTCCATTTATAATTTCATTTTCCTACAAGGGGGGAACCATTTTTAAAAAGAAATGTGTAAAAGCGGTGAAAGAAAGCAAATGACAGCTCATATAGCTACAGGAAACAAAAAAAAGTCAAATAAGAAAGTCGTATGGCTGCAACAAGCCACCAGCAACTTCTAGACACGTCAGCTCTCACGTGCGACATACGAAAGCTCTTGGTCACCTGCTTGATAGCCCCTCTCTGCAGCACGCGTTTCAGGGCCTGCTTCAGCAGGTAGCCCCTCCTGTCCAGCTCCAGAGATGGGTACTTCTTCAGGATGTACTTCCGGATGGCAAAGGCAGAGGCTCCCGTTTTGTGGAAACAGGCCTGTAAGAGGCAGGAGAAGATTCAGGCAGCAGAGGGTGGAGAGCAGACTTGACAAGCATCCTGGTTAAATTCCACTCTGGAGGTGCACAACCTGGCTTCTCTACAGTCACAGGTCCAACGGGTGAAGCACCTTTCCCCTATGTCTACTTCATGTGCTGTGCAGTGGAGCTGCCATAGAGCACCTAAGTGGCTGATGCACTTCAGTGGGGAAGGAAGTGCCCCTCCGAGATGCAGAGAGCTCTGGGATCCTCTGGGATGAAATGCACTAAACAAATTCATTAACTGAGTGATTTCCACTTTCTGCACATGTAACGTTAAAGCACATGTACATGCCAATTAAAAAAGTACTTGAAGTAACTAATTCATGTCTTGTTTGAACTTGTTTGAAAGCATAAGTTTAATCACGTGGAAGAATTCACTGTGGATCCCTCTTTAAGACACGTTTTGTCATTTTAATTCTTTCTTAGAACATTACACACTCTCTTCCTCACTAACGGAGCCATCTCACAACAACCCCATCCTAAAAATCATTCCCAAAGACAAAAAGCAACATAAAGTTTCATTTCGGTCTCCTGTACTGACGAGACAGCCCGGCAAGGTGCCATTAGAACCGGAGTCCTAGCTTTGACCTTGGACAGATGCCACTAAAAAAACAAAAGAGGGAAACTGCTGAAAACAGAAACAAAAATTTGACAAAGAAAACAGAAAAACCAAAATCTGGGAAGTGAAAGAAAACAAAAAACTAAAAGTCCATTTGAAATGATTCTTTTGGAAATACCTGAAATATACTTTGTGTATTTAGAACATTTAGGGTTGACAATCCAGGTAAGGAATATACTGTATATACACTATGCTCTCAAGACTGGAACCTGTGCAGAACATGGGCTCCGTTTAAGAGAAGATGTATGATTCCATTTCATACCGACTTCCTTACTGTGGAAAGCCACAGAAAAAGCTCAGAGTGGATAAAATACATGGCTTGTTTTCTCAGGACCACGAGCGCCCAGACTGGTCCCAGTGTGTGAGAAGTGGGGCACCAGTGACAGGGAACACACCTGGATGGCCTCCGTGAGGATGTCGTCGATCTTGGGCCGCACGTACAGGGTGACCTGGGAGCGCTTCTGGGAGCGGGCCAGCTGCTTGGCGGACATGGTGGCCCAGGCGGGGATAGTCTTCCTCACCTTCCTCTCCTTCTCCTTCACGGCATCTTTGTCCCTGCAATCAACCAGAAGCAGGGCCGTCACTTCTGACAAAACAGGGGTACCGGAACACAGATGACATTGGGGGGATCCCCCTCTGCTCTGGTGTAGCTTGGCTGTGGAGCCAGTGGTGTGGAGGTACCATCCGTGGGATTATGACTGAAGGCCTCTTAATGGGTCACAATGGTATCTTCACACCACTGGCTTGACACCCCCCATAAAAACCTCAATGGTCTCGGTCTCCTAGGGAGTCACTCATATACTTTATCACTGTCCCCCCTCTCCAATGTCCTACGTTGCTCTTACATGTTGGTGGGGTGGAGGGACCTCAGAAGTTGGGAGCCCCCTGCCATTGAACGTCTATGTTCTAGCTTTTCATTGAATTTGGGAGTTGCCTAGAGGAGGAGTATAGGGGGACCTGGGGGTGCCCCTACAGCCTCCCACAGATGAGACCCCACATCAAAAAGACCCCCAGCAGGTCCTTATTCTAACTGCATAAGAACAACCACAGATTGGTGAAATAAAGGAGATGAAACGCAACAAAGCTCACAATCCCGAAAGCAAAAAACACAACCACATAGGGAAGATCTTGGATAAAACAGGTTTTTTCGACCAAACTTGATTCTGAAACGTGAAACAGAGTTGTGCTGTCTTTGAGCCTCGGCAAACAAAAACCCAGAGAATTTAACAGGGCCTGACCTAAATTGCTGACGCACAAATTTCCACAAATAAGCTTTTGTTTGCTAGTACTGAGCAACAGCCTGCAGCCAGACAAGCCAAAGGCTAGTCTGAGGTCACACGTCGAACCTGGGACACTCATTTGGTGAAATGTGTCAATTAAACTCTTCCATCCATCTATTTTCTAACCACTTCATCCAATCCAGGGTCCCGGGGGAGCCAGAGCCTATCCCAGCGAGTACTGGGTGCAAGCCAGGACACACTCTGAACAGGACACCGGCCCATCGCTGGGCACACACAGGCACACACAGGCACACACACTCAACGTGAGGGACAATTTTCCCAGAAGACAAATCACCTGCCAGTATGTCTTTGGTCTGTGGGAGGAAACCCTCATGAACACAGGGGAATATACAAAGTCCACAGAGATGGTATCCTAGGTCCGAAACGCAGGACCCAGGGCACCCGCACTCTGGGACAGCAATGCTAATCACTGTACTTCCATGCTACCCGTCTTAAACTCTTCCCTCCTCCTAGAACTTCTCTTCCGTCTCGAAGACACAACTACAGGACGTGCTGGACTGTGAATCCTGAATTCCAGCTGAGCAGTCCCTGAGCTTGAATTTGAATTTTAGGGAGACGTGGGAAAATGCACATCTAGGGCACAGAAGACATTCTTCCTCCAGCCCCGCGTCAGGGAGTAGAATGTCTTCTGGCGTTCTGAAACGCCACCACAGACGAGTATAAACCCCCCCCCGACACTGAAGCCCTGAGGCCGCGACGAGATGAGTTACTCTTTCTTCTGCTCCTCAGCAGGCTTCTTCTCCTCCTTCTTCTCCTCCTTGCTTTCGGGTTCCTTGCCGTCTCCCTTGGCCTGCCCGTCCTCAGCAGCAGGGGCCGGGGCCGGTGCCGGGGCCTCGCTCTCCTGCTCCTCCCCTGCGGACGCCGACTCCTCGGAGCTGGCGTCGGGCTCTGCGCAGAGACGGGGAGGAAAAAGAGCGAGTCCGGCTTACTCCACCAGTCAAGTGGCAAAACACGGGCAGAGGAGCTCACTGCCGTATGTACATACAAATTGGAATTCTTATTCACGCTGATCTCTCAGGACATACACGGTACAGCAGACAACGCATCACACTGTAGACGGGGCATTACAAAACAGTACATAACACACAGTGACCACCAGAACAATAAAGATGCTGTAGAGAACAACAAACAACATGGTAGTGCAAGTCAAAGGTGCACAGTGGAGAGGTGCATTCGGTCCTGTGGCACTGCACAGTTAGCTGTTTATGATGCGCACTGCAGCAGGGTAGAGGATGTTCTTAAGATCAGTTTGTGGCCGTGATGACTGGGATCCCCAACGATGAATCGGGCTTTATTGTGACGGCGGATGGGGCGAATCTCATCAACTGATGGCAAATGACATCGGATAACCCTCTGTACCATTGCCACAACCCTTTGTGGAGAAGGACCTTTCCCCATTTTCAACTTATGGAAATTACGGAATGTCCTCCCATTGAGATCAGGATGGCCATGTCCCAGTCCAGTTTCGCTTTTTTATTGTCCTACATGTAAGGCACTATATAACTAAGAACAGATGCGGCCTTGTTCTATACAAGCGTCTCCAGCTGTAGTTTATACAGGGTCAGGAAAACCCCTCCATACACCATTTCCCTCTATTATATATCCCTTTATCCCCCTCCAGTGGGGGAGATACCTTAAAACAATTCCCATAATCAGAACACAAGAAAGGTCATTGGGCCACTCAGTCTACCACATTCATCCTGGCTAGTATCCTATAGAATGGGGTGTCTAGAGAAACAGTGTCTGCAACGTGGCTTTGCAATTTGTCATGTTAAACCGTATTTTGCTCAGAGGTATACTGACGAAACGCAATTTAGGGCCAGCGCAAAATTCCTTGCCTTTGTACTTGTCTAGAGAGCGTCTCGTGGCACTGCGACCGAACAGGAGGGCGCCGTTTCTGCCCAGGACCTGCAGAAGGAAGTCAAAGTCCTCGGAAGAAAGGACAGACCCCCTGGGTTGCAGTGGAAGGGGTGTGGGGTGCATGATGCTGGGTGCACCCCGAAGCCCCAGATCCCAGACCCAAACGAGGGCGGCTCACCTGCTGCTGTGGGGTTCTTGGGGGCTGTCTCCTGGGGTGGCGTCCCAGCAGCTCGGCGGATGGGCATGGCTGAAACCTGAAACAGGGGCACAGTGACTGGCAATGAGGAACAGCTCTGGCAACATCCCCAAATCGACACACGGGAGACTCACTGAAAGGTCATAAACACCTGAGCTGTGCACCAGAAGGAAACTACATCTTGTGTTGCAATATCAGGGCTAATAGACCTTCAGTAAAACCGAAATGTTTAAATTACCTCTTTAAGTGACTGGAATCTAGCTCTTAAGAATCACTGAGTTTAATTACCATTTTTAACACAAACCCCAACGCGGCACAAGGTTTGCTACTGGTGTAAAAATATCTTTGTATAAGTAATAGTACTTTATGCACTTTATAGAAATGCACGTAGCTAGATCTTCTCCTTGCTCAAGGCTATGCCTGCACTTCATGAAAATATCTCTCGCTCTATCGCGCTTTTAATTGGTGTGCGTGCTTTAAGAAAAAGCAACAATAAAAAAAGATTAGAATACTGTATGCTGGTGTAAGAAATATACATTTTTAAAATAAAATTACCAACCAATCATTACCGAAAACCTAAAGACCGCGCAGGCGTACTTAAAAATGTGTCTAGGGCCTATGCAAACAGAAATCCTACCGACTCATTCAAAAACAAACACCGTTAGGAAAAATTAAAAAAAAAAAACAGAAGAATGCTACGCTTATTACTGCCCGTGCACAGCGCACACCTCGGTGGGGATTTTCTTAAGGTTTGGATTCGTACCTCGGTTCTCCACCTCCATCGGGGAGGTGAAAACGGGATAACACAATAACAGAAACAAACTACACCTCCTACAATAAAAAAATGGAAAAATTGGCCATTTTGTCCATTGAACCTATACAGTAATGGCGTTGCAGTGAGCCGATGTTTTTTTTTTTTAATGCATGAAGTTACAATGCAAAACAGCGTTTGCAAAAACAACAGATGAGAACAACTAATGCATTTCCACCCTGGTTTATTTTCCTCCGTTTCGATACACGCTGCTCCTTTTACTTTCTTACCTTTATTGTACTTGATGTATTTGTTTGTATTCAAACTGTCCTCTCCTTTTATTTAGAATTTGATCAGCACCCCGGCCCCGCCTCCCTGCGTAGGCACGTCACTACGTCGGGCGTCCAGGATCCTCTTCTTAAATTCTGTCCAATCACGGGCTCTCCTCAGTCTCCGGTTCTGCACCATTGTGTGCGATAGTGGCTGTCCGGGCACTGCCGAAGGCACGATGTCTACCACGTTTATACTTACCGAAAAATATGTATTCTGTATGTGTAGCAAATGAAGAGACCCGGCGTTACAGCTACGAGTTTTAAACCGAGTTTTAACTAACCCCTTGCCCATATATGACCGATAAAACCCGAAATTCGAATTCTGGAATGGCTTATAATAACATTTAACGTCAAACGCCTTTGTTCGGTCGCACTTGGATTCGTCTTGAGAGAACATCAAAATAGCCGACCCAATTCGACTTCAATAAAGAGGGAAGGTTGGGATTCTTGTTATAGAGAGCTAGAGTATATAAAAGTTTTGCCCCCTTCCTCCGGAAAAAAAAGTCATTTATTTTTCTAAAATACCATTTAACCTAGGTGTGTGTACTGTATGTTACATCAAGTATTGAAATGTTTTAATTTGTCAGATCGCAATAGACTAGCAATACTACTTTCGCAAGAAAATAAATAGGGGTCAGTAGGGGTCTCCGGGCACTCGTAACTACAGATGTGCTCCTTTACAAATCCATGCCCACAATCTGCCGCATTATTTTCATCAACCTCCGCTCAAAGTCATAAGCCTGTCACATGGAACACAATGACAGCAGTCTTGCGCGACAGCTACCTCCGGATTGATGCGTGAGAATCCCCGCTGTGATTAACTCTTCACCTTAAAAACCCAAGTATCTCCGACCCTAGCAGCGATGAAGCAAGCGGTTAGCCGGCATGTCCCGGTTTGCTGAAGTTTATGGAAGCAGAAACGCGATACAAAAAAAAAAAGGAACAAGAGGTTTATTCCATGCTGAAAAAAAGAAGAAAGAGAACACAACGTTTCGGCCGTGGAGCCTTCTTCAGGTGTGCAAGAAGGCTGAAGAAGCACACCTGAAGAAGGCTCCACGACCAAAACGTTGTGTTCTCTTTCTTCTTTTTTTCAGCATGGAATAAACCTATTACTTGTTCCTTTGCAGCCTACGCATGCTGACGCAGCTACCCACCTGAACTACAAAAAAAAAAGGCACGCATACTCGTCATGCTCTAAGAACCTAAAATTAAGATGCAAGTCCACCGCTTCAGAGGGCATGAATTCGTTAGCAAAAAAGACACTTTACTATGGATGCATACAGGATAAAAATGAGTCCAGCTGCTGAGTCCAAGTCAGGGTCGCGGGGGAGCCGGCACATATCCCGGTAACCCAGAGGCGCAAGGCTGGATACACACTGCATGGGTCACCAGTCAACTGCAAGGCAGACAGAGACTCGCACACACTCACACCAGAGCCAGCTGTCCCCAGAACTAACCACTTAACCTACCAGTGTGTCTTGGGACTGTGGGAGGCAGCTCCCGGAGGAAACCCACACACATAAGGGGAGAGCATGCAAACTCCACACAGATTACACTCCAGGACAGGCGCAGGCAGGCAACAATGCTAACCACTGCGACCACAAAGACGCAAAAAAAAAAAAAGGATGTTGAATGTTTAAATACATTAAGTACTACTGAGGTGAAGTCATCAACCGTTGAGTACAGACTCATCTGGTCCATTTGTGCTCTGGGGATTCATACACAGCACTTTTCAAGTGCTTCACGGAACACTTCTTATTTAACAAACATCTCAGATGCAGAACAGATGACCCTGTTTTGGTTCTGACCATAAAACCTTCCTATTCATACTTCGTCCTCATGAAAAAAAAAATATAGTAGTGTGGTTCCTTTTGTTTTACATTGAATTCGATCTACTGAAAATGAAAGTGTTTTCAAATTAATGCATACAACAAATACACTTACAGCAAGTCATTTTATAAATGGAAAACGTTTCTCATGACCTTCACAGATATTTGCGAATGTAAGGACTTGATATTTTGCTGATAAAGGAAGGTTAAGGGAATTGAAAATCATATTTTACTATTGAGGACAAGTCTTTTGTAAAGTTTGTCAGGGATATACCTAGTGAAAACATTTGGGGTTCAAATCCTAGATAAGGCACTGCTGTAATCCTACCTTTATCTTATTATAGGAATTGTTCCAGATGTCAAGATGACAAATTTAAGCTGCTTTGGACAAAATTATCAGCCAAATCAATAACTGTTTAACCCAATACCCACAAATAGAACTGTACCATATTCAATACAAAGCAAAATATATAACTATAAAAATGTTTAACATAGCTAATCTTATGTATTGTAAAGCTAACAGTACTCACAGGCTCGTATGATGGCGACTACTTCAGTGCTGAAAGTTGTAAATGACGTTCAAGGGCTTCCTTGCTCTTCAGTCATCTTATTTTGTACTGTATATTGAGATTTGTCTTGATATTTTCCCATACTCAGGAGTAACTGTTTAAAACCCAGTTTCTAATATGTAATTGTAAACAAACTGACACAAACCTTATGAAGTCAGGTACTCCAACAGTATATGTTCAACAACATCCTGAGGAACACCACACATGAAGTGTGATCACCCATGGGACAGGATTACAAATCTGGAGGTTCTCCCAACAGCGAAAACAATCCGCACTGGGACTGTATCGAATATCAAATACAGGGTCATGGGGGGGCTGGGGCCTATCGCCAGCAAGCAACAGGCTCAAGGCAGGATACACCCTGGACAAGAGGCCAGGTCACCACACACCCACCGCCATCTTCTACGCACACATAGCTGAAATGAGAACAGTGGAAGCAAGGCCATATGAGCAAACCTTACGAAGACGGCAGGAAGAGCAGCCTGTGTTTCAGCGCAACCAAGCCCTGTGAGGGGGAGCCGGCTGTCTCAGATCCATTTGGCACTCTACAGGCCTTTCAAGGAAGACGGGGATACATGATTTATGACTGCAAGGAAAAGGCACCACTGTCCCACTGCTATTTTAACAACTAAAGACCAACAAAGACTTTGTTTTTGGTGTGTCCAAGTATGGTTATTAATCTCATTATCCAGTGTCAAATCCAAACACTTAACAGATTTACAATCATAGTGCCGCTACAATGCAAATCCCTGCATCATATGCTTCATAATTCTGGGGGAAATCATAAGCCATTACCTCCAGTTGCTTGTACCACTGCTGTGGAAAACCCTTGAAGTGCATTTGACAATACTGAACACAGTATGTTTCCATTGTCAACTGGATTGACTGTGAAATACACCACTACTTTCCTGGAAGTCTTCAGCTGCTGTACCTGCTGTTCCTGACCGAACAATTTTGTCTCAAACAATATGGGAGACTTGTTTACCATCAAAACAATACCTAATAAGGATTGACTTACACTTCTCTTCCAGAAGTGTGCAAGAAATGGACCACACTGATGTTTCATTTAGTTTTTTTAAATATCTTTTTTCTTTAATGTATTTACAAGCTTTAAATTTGCTCTATAAGTCTGAAGTATTACAAGCACTTTATGTTCAGCAACCATACGTTATTTGATTTTTGTACAAGTTGCTGTCTGTACGTTCACTTAATTCTTAATTCTTCATTGTTGTTCATTTGAAGTTCTTGCAGACTGTATTGTCTTCTGAATGCGGATTTCTGCCCGTTTGGAGGATAATATACATATCACTTAGAGCAAGCCAAAGCAGAAGGAAGAGTTTTTGTGGTTATTTAATAATAACCTTTAACCTCTGATGTCTTTTAAACATCTGCCCTTCCTGTGTCTCCCCCCCACCACCCACTGACCCACCCACCCCCCTCCCCAAAAGAGCATTTCTTTACCCTGTTTTTCACCAAACAGTTTGGAATCCAGGGAGGCAATTATTCTTTCACGATTATTTTTTATCGTCCGCGCTCGTCTCCTTCTCGTGAGCATCTGCAAATGTTAAATAAACTTCCATATTTGCAGTCCTTAAAAAAATAATAAATTAAAGAGTTCAGAACCTATTTGTCTTTGTTGCACAGAAATTGGTTTTAAAGTCTTTCTTAAAAAGTAACAAAAGAAGGTTTTAAAATTTAAAACAAAAATATTTTCTATAAATAATACATGTTTAGTGCTCTCGCCTGTGAACTCAAACTCAAATTGCTGCAAGTCTTAGAACCGTACCATGAAGTTTTCAACCTTTTTTCATCTATCTGTGCATGTTTTTTCTTTTCATTGTGTTCAGCAACAATTGGCCTTTCTGCACTAATTGGCGAAGATTCTCTCCTCTCGTCAATTATCTTCCGATTCCTCTTCAGCTTCCCTAAGCCATGTGAAAAAGGCTGTGACTGACTTCAGCGCTACTCCCTTGCCCAGCTGCTCAGCAGGGTCCTTGCTCGACTCCCATTTGTAGAAAGCATCTTCTGAGATCACGTCTTCATCGTACAAACAGTCAAAAAACATCCGTAGCAAATCTGAAAATGAAAAGCAAAGAAAACAGACTTTCTGAATTTCCTCATTCACACTTGAATTTTTATCAGTTGTCATTTTAGGACACTTCAGAGATGCAGCAGCTGAAAGGATTTTAGAATTAGCATAATTCAGGTCGAAGATTTGTTAGCATAGTGAGAAAACAATGCTGGCTTTAACACAATAAGAACAAGGAGATCGAGCATTCAACTTTTTAAAAACGTCCTACTTAAAAAAATAGAATTCTTTATGTTATATGATGTTAGTACTTGACTTATGCCAAAAATTAGATTGAACTTTTGAAAGACATACTTACTAGGAGGTTGATCAAGTTTAACTATCAATGCTTGAAGTGCATAAAGTGCTTGCAATTGTCTCTCAGTATCTGAGTTAAGGTACTTGAGTAATACAGGCAATCTTCTCTGGATAATGGCAGTGTCCACTCGACATGCTGTGCTCTCACCTATACAACAGAGATCAGTGTTAATTTGTGAAAAATCGCCAAGTGCTGTCACTCTCACCCCAGGCAAAACATGTACTAGGAGAGCGACAATGACCTTGCATTTCTGTCACGATTTCCTCTTCTAATGTCAATCTCCAGGACATTCCTGTAAACCTCCTACTGTAAAGTGTGGAACTCAAGTTTATTACTAAATAAATTCAGTTAAGATAGTCATATAGCCTTGGGGGTTGGACAGAGATGAAGGACCATTCCTACAACTTACAACCCAGAAATGCGGTGCATTTGCTGAACAAAAACACATTTACGTACATTTAAAAACACTGCTGAAAATATACACAATAGTAAGTCTATGTGTATATAATGTGAACTCATTTAAACTCTTGCCCTAAATCAATCATTGACAAGCTTACATAAATTACGTATTAATAATGTGATCTGTCTTAAGCCGTATATTATGATAACGTATGGCAACTGTACACACTCGTGGACTGAGTCCAACATTAACAGCACACGTTCCACTTCTTTGGCTGTAAAACACCTGTTCTGAAGTACAAACTCAAACTCAGAGAAGTTAAAGAGTTTTTAAACAAGGAGAAGGAAAGGCTGTATTGATCTCTACACACATCTGCTCCTTCACGGTCTGAACCAACAATGACTGGCACCGATTCAATTAATCTCGGAGTCAGGTAAGAGCTACACTTCCCACTACAGCTTCAAAAGCGGTTTCGGGACAGAAACATTCAGGAGAAGTTAAAATCCACAAAACCAATAAGTTACATAGTCAGGTGGATGCTGTAAAAAAGCTGCCTATGAATTTAAACTACACTGTTCAAATACAAAATAATGTTGGCTGCCCAAGGCTGCAAACATACACCTGTAACCTCATGTGTAAAAATACCACCAGGAGCAAGAGGATGAGGGTTCATTGTCTTCTTACCTTTCACTGCTGCCTTACACACAGCTGTCATTAAAGCTCTAAGGAATGGAGGTGAACTCATTTGAGATTCATCTAAATTGGCCTGGAATGGAAAAGGACAAAACATGTTTGCATTGCATGCAGCAATTAATATCACATGTAAACATGCGACTCTTCATTACAGATTAAGTCAGAACTGATGGCATAACAATTTAAACTTCTCTATAAAGGACTGGTCTGTGACATTTTTGAACTTCCTTCCTGGAGATATCAGTAAACGAGGGACCAGGATGAGGAGATTTATCCGTTTTCTTGCTTTACTTGAAGCTTTGAAACAAAATGTACCCTTTTTTTAAAGCTTCAAACACATTTTCTGACATTATTGGCTTTGTAGCTGAAAACATTTCGAAGATGCCTTTGTTAAAGGCATCACTGTAGCTGCAGTTATAGGGAACACAGGATGTGGAACATGAGGAATGCTTTGCCTCATCCCAGCTCTGGTAGCTGCTGAAGTCACGAGCAACATAGGAACACAGGACAGGTCTGCAACCCCTTGATTATCACCCCCCACACTGCCTGACAGTGAAAGAGGTCAAGTAAATAAAGGCAAGCTGCTCGAACTCTGTACCTCTACCCAGTCGAAGATTTGTTCGTCGCTAGCCATGTCCTCTAGAAGGAGCTTCTCTAGCTGTTTGTTCAGTTCATCGGGAGAAAGCTCTCTCTTTGAAAGTGCTTCAGTGGGACTTGAGCAGTCCGATATAGTGAACTCTAGTTTCTGTTGGGAGAGCACAAAGAGCTGTAATGGCATCATTCTTTCTGAAATACATGATCAACTGCTTTATAAAACAGCATAATACCTCTTAGAATTATTTTTCGGATCTTGTTACAAACAAATTATAATACTAAGATAACAGTACATAATTAGTGTTTCTCAGATTGTGCGTTTTCATTATTTCTTAAAGACCTTGCTGACCATAAAAACAGAGCAAGGATTTGGAACAGATCCTGAGAAACATATTTGAAAAATGTCTTGTCTTTGCATTCAAATGGGAATACATTAAAACTGTTCACTGAAACTATTGCCAAGAATATTCCCTGAATGTTTTTCTTTAATTTAATGCCTTAATAGCTGTTTTTTTGTTATACATGTAACAGGATCTAAAAGCCCTATTTATCTAATGGAGGCGTTGCCACTTTTTATTTAAATTTTATTTTCTTAAACAGTAGACCTCATATCATATTCGGGCTTGCCCCTCTCCTACTACAGGCTTTTGTTCTCACCAGATCAGAGATAAAGTTGTGCACATCTTCACCCTCTGGCAGGAAATCCACCCAGTTCAACCCCGATTCCCTCCATAAGGCCCCCACTTTCCTATGGCTCTGGCAAAGAGAAAAGAGCTTCAGCACCCCAGCAATACACATGAATAAAACCAGTTTCCCTGTAACACCACACTCCCTTGTGGAGAAATCTTGCACAGACTCCTGTGAAAACTGCTCACCGCAGATACATTTCCAGACAGCTATTGTTTTACCTTATTGCCATAACATCAAACCACTAGATGTTCTTAGAGTAAAATAATGCACCGGTTCAAATATCTTCACATTACATGGATACTGAAAGTTTGAAACTGACAGTTGTATTGGGGATACTTATCCGAAAAGAATGGTAAAACAAGTAATTTAAATGTTCTATATCAGTTTGGTTCTGGAACATTTAATCCGCTCTTAACTTATTTATTCATTCTTTTTTGCCATTTGTCTCACGTTTGCATTTCACAAAGATAATGGCACTGTCCAAATCAGATGTTAATGGGGAAAAAAAACCATTACACTACAGCCATCAAGATTCAACATTGCACTGAGAAATGAAAGACATAGCGTGTGTGCAATATGATTTAAGTTATAAAGATTTTATAGCACTTAGCTGTAGCTGAATTTAATAAAAAATCGAAAGTTGTAAGGACAGCATTTGTCAAATATCCAATAGAATGGTCAACTTGAAAAATGGGTCAAGGAATTTCTTGATTGCCTATCTCAATATAACTGCAATCACCCCCATCTCCATGTAAACCACCTGCTACTGTTTGGATTCCACATGCCCTTTCTGCTTTCTGACCCCAAGCTACTTAAAACAACCCCTGCATGGTAGAAAGAACATGACAAAAAGTGCTACTATGCGTCTAGAAACTACAGATACTGTATCTATTGTTGCAGTATGATGCATCAAAGAATGTCCTTATATACAGTGCAGTTCAACCAGACCTGCAGGTGATAACATTTTTGCACTTTTATCAATTTTTACATGGAACTTCACATGTGGTTTTAAAACTGATTCCTTTACTGAAAAAAAAATGTAATAAGTCAGAAGGCATGCAATTTTGCACATTACATAAAATTGCACTGTATGGAAAGAGAGCAGATGAGTGAAAAGAATACTAAAAAGTCCCTGACAAGTTTTAAACAGAATCTAGGACTTTTTATTGAAGGTGGGGTACAGAAAAGAAGCTAAAAGTAAAAAAACACACTAGATGTTCTTAGAGTAAAATAATGCACCGGTTCAAATATCTTCACATTACATGGATACTGAAAGTTTGAAACTGACAGTTGTATTGGGGATACTTATCCGAAAAGAATGGTAAAACAAGTAATTTAAATGTTCTATATCAGTTTGGTTCTGGAACATTTAATCCGTTCTTAACTTATTTATTCATTCTTTTTTGCCATTTGTCTCACGTTTACATAAAATTGCACTGTATGGAAAGAGAGCAGATAAATGAAAAGAATACTACAAAGTCCCTGACAAGTTTTAAACAGAATCTAGGACTTTTTATTGAAGGTGGGGTACAGAAAAGAAGCTAAAAGTAAAAAAAAAATCTTACCATTTGTTTGCATAGTAAGTGCAGTATTTCAGAAAATAATATCCCAGCTCTTCCCACAGGAAGTAAAGGTTTGCTAAATTCACTGCAAATAAGAGAACAAACAAAAATGGGAGAACCCCATTAGATAATGTAATAAAGGCACTTAAAATTCACCAAATTCCAACCTCTCCATTATGATGTCCTGCAGTCTGTTTTGATGCTCTGAGCCAGAATGTTTATTTTAGCAGCTGTCCTGACCACAGATTATACCACAGTGGTCTCATTCCTTCCTCTAGATCAGGAAACAGTTGGTCTTTACTTGGGCTGTAGTTGACTGCTTTATGCAATGAAAGGGCCACATCTAGCAAAATCTTGCAGAAGAGCAAACCTTAAAAAGGAGTTGTAGAA